TCTCTTTCTCTACATTTACACATCAACCCTGATGTGAGTAAGTCCCTTGGTCATGTCTCTTTCTCTCCACTTACACATCAACCCTGATGTGAGTAGGTCCCTTGGTCATGTCTCTTTCTTTCCACTTACACATCAACCCTGATGTGAGAAATCCCTTGGAAATGTCTCTTTCTCTCCACTTACACATCAACCCTGATGTGAGTAGGTCCCTTGGTCATGTCTCTTTCTCTTCACTTACACATCAACCCTGGTGTGAGTGCGAGTTAGTCCCTTGGTCAGGCCTCTTTTTCTCCACTCCTTGGTAATGTTATCTTCTCTCCACTAACACAACAACCCTGATGTGAGATAGTCCCTTGGTCATGTCTCTTTCTCTCAACTTACACATCAACCCTGATGTGAGTAAGTCCCTTGGTCATGTCTCTTTCTCTCCACTTACACATCAAACCAGATGTGCGTAAGTCCCTTGGCCAGGTCTCTTTCTCTCCACTTACACATCAACCCTGATGTGAGTAAGTCCTTAAGTCATGTCTCTTTCTCTCAACTTACACATCAACCCTGATGTGAGTAAGTCCCTTGGTCATGTCTATTTCTCTCCACTTACACATCAACCCTGATGTGAGTAAGTCCCTTGGTCATGTCTCTTTCTCTCCACTTACACATCAACCCTGATGTGAGTAAGTCCCTTGGTCATGTCTCTTTCGCTTCACTTACACATCAACCCTGATGTGAGTAAGTCCCTTGGTCATGTCTCATTCTCTTCACTTACACATCAACCCTGATGTGAGTAGGTCCCTTGGTCATGTCTCTTTCTCTCCACTTAAACATCAACCCTGATGTGAGTAAGTCTCTTGGTCAGGTCTCTTTCTCTCTAATTACACATCAACCCTGATGTGAGTTAGTCCCTTGGTCAGGCCTCTTTCTCTTCACTTACACATCAATCCTGATGTGAGTAGGTCCCTTGGTCATGTCTCTTTCTCTCCACTTACACATCAACCCTGATGTGAGTTGGTCCCTTGGAAATGTCTCTTTCTCTCCACTTACACATCAACCGTGATGTGAGTAGGTCCCTTGGTCATGTCTCTTTCTCTTCACTTACACATCAACCCTGGTGTGAGTGCGAGTTAGTCCCTTGGTCATGTCTCTTTCTCTCCACTTACACATCAACCCTGATGTGAGTAAGTCCCTTGGTCATGTCTCTTTCTCTCCACTTACACATCAACCCTGATGTGAGTAAGTCCCTTGGTCATGTCTATTTCTCTCCTCTTACACATCAACCCTGATGTGAGTAAGTCCCTTGGTCATGTCTCTTTCTCTCCACTTACACATCAACCCTGATGTGCGTAAGTCCCTTGGTCATGCCTCTTTCTCTTCACTTACACATCAACCCTGATGTGAGTAAGTCCCTTGGTCAGGCCTCTTTCTCTTCACTTACACATCAACACTGATGTGAGTTAGTCCCTTGGTCATGTCTCTTTCTCTCCGCTTACACATCAACCCTGATGTAAGTCCCTTGCTCATGTCTCTTTCTCTCAACTTACACATCAACCCTGGTGTGAGTGCGAGTTAGTCCCTTGGTCATGTCACTTTCTCTCAAATTACACATCAACCCTGATGTGAGTAAGTCCCTTGGTCAGGTCTCTTTCTATCAAATTACACATCAACCCTGATGTGAGTAGGTCCCTTGGTCATGTCTCTTTCTCTACATTTACACATCAACCCTGATGTGAGTAAGTCTGTTGGTCATGTCTCTTTCTCTCCACTTACACATCAAACCAGATGTGAGTAAGTCCCTTGGTCAGGTCTTTTTCTCTCCACTTTACATCAACTCTGATGTGAGTAAATCCCTTGGTAATGTCTCTTTCTCCACTTACACATCAACCCTGATGTCAGTAAGTCCCTTGGTCATGTCTCTTTCACTCCACTTACACATCAACCCTGATGTGAGTAGGTCCCTTGGTCATGTCTCTTTCTCTCCACTTACACATCAACCCTGATGTGAGTAAGTCCCTTGGTCATGTCTATTTCTCTCCTCTTACACATCAACCCTGATGTGAGTAAGTCCCTTGGTCATGTCTCTTTCTCTCCACTTACACATCAACCCTGATGTGAGAAAGTCCCTTGGAAATGTCTCTTTCTCTCCACTTACACATCAACCCTGATGTGAGTAGGTCCCTTGGTCATGTCTCTTTCTCTCCACTTACACATCAACCCTGATGTGAGTAAGTCCCTTGGTCATGTCTCTTTCTCTCCACTTACACATCAACCCTGATGTGAGTAAGTCCCTTGGTCATGTCTCTTTCTCTCCACTTACACATCAACCCTGATGTGAGTAAGTCCCTTGGTCATGTCTCTTTCTCTTACGTGAGTTGGTCCCTTGGTCATGTCTCTTTCTCTCCACTTATACATCAACCCTGATGTGAGTAAGTCCCTTAGTCATGTCTCTTTCTCTCCACTTACACATCAACCCTGATGTGAGTTAGTCCCTTGGTCATGTCTCTTTCTCTCCACTTACACATCAACCCTGATGTGAGTAAGTCCCTTAGTCATGTCTCTTTCTCTCCACTTACACATCAACCCTGATGTGAGTAGGTCCCTTGGTCATGTCTCTTTCTCTCCACTTACACATCAACCCTGATGTGAGTAAGTCCCTTGGTCATGTCTCTTTCTCTCCACTTACACATCAACCCTGATGTGAGTAAGTCCCTTGGTCATGTCTCTTTCTCTCCACTTACACATCAACCCTGATGTGAGTAAGTCCCTTGGTCATGTCTCTTTCTCTTATGTGAGTTGGTCCCTTGGTCATGTCTCTTTCTCTCCACTTATACATCAACCCTGATGTGAGTAAGTCCCTTAGTCATGTCTCTTTCTCTCCACTTACACATCAACCCTGATGTGAGTTAGTCCCTTGGTCATGTCTCTTTCTCTCCACTTACACATCAACCCTGATGTGAGTAAGTCCCTTGGTCATGTCTCTTTCTCTCCACTTACACATCAACCCTGATGTGCGTAAGTCCCTTGGTCATGCCTCTTTCTCTCCACTTACACATCAACCCTGATGTGAGTTAGTCCCTTGGTCATGTCTCTTTCGCTACACTTATACATCAACCCCGATGTGAGTAAGTCCCTTGGTCGTGCCTCTTTCCCTCCACTTACACATCAACCCTGATGTGAGTTAGTCCCTTAGTCATGTCTCTTTCTCTCCACTTTCACATCAACCCTGATGTGCGTAAGTCCCTTGGTCATGCCTCTTTCTCTTCACTTACACATCAACCCTGATGTGAGTAAGTCCCTTGGTCAGGCCTCTTTCTCTTCACTTACACATCAACACTGATGTGAGTTAGTCCCTTGGTCATGTCTCTTTCTCTCCGCTTACACATCAACCCTGATGTAAGTCCCTTGGTCATGTCTCTTTCTCTCAACTTACACATCAACCCTGGTGTGAGTGCGAGTTAGTCCCTTGGTCATGTCACTTTCTCTCAAATTACACATCAACCCTGATGTGAGTAAGTCCCTTGGTCAGGTCTCTTTCTCTCAAATTACACATCAACCCTGATGTGAGTAGGTCCCTTGGTCATGTCTCTTTCTCTACATTTACACATCAACCCTGATGTGAGTAAGTCTGTTGGTCATGTCTCTTTCTCTCCACTTACACATCAAACCAGATGTGAGTAAGTCCCTTGGTCAGGTCTTTTTCTCTCCACTTTACATTAACTCTGATGTGAGTAAATCCCTTGGTAATGTCTCTTTCTCCACTTACACATCAACCCTGATGTCAGTAAGTCCCTTGGTCATGTCTCTTTCACTCCACTTACACATCAACCCTGATGTGAGTAGGTCCCTTGGTCATGCCTCTTCCTCTCCACTTACACATCAACCCTGATGTGAGTAAGTCCCTTGGTCATGTCTCTTTCTCTCCACTTACACATCAGCCCTGATGTAAGTCTCTTGGTCAGGTCCTTTTCTCTCCACTTACACATCAACCCTGATGTGAGTAGGTCCCTTGGTCATGTCTCTTTCTCCCCACTTACACATCAACCCTGATGTGAGTAAGTCCCTTGGTCATGGCTCTTTCTCTCAACTTACACATCAACCATGATGTGAGTTAGTCCCTTGGTCATGTCTCTTTCACTCCACTTACACATCAACCCCGATGTGAGTAAGTCCATTGGTAATGTCTCTTTCTCAACTTACACATCAACTCTGATGTAAGTCCCTTGGTCATGTTTCTTTCTCTTATGTGAGTTAGTCCCTTGGTCATGTCTCTTTCTCTCCACTTTGATATGAGTAAGTCCCTTAGTCATGTCTCTTTCTCTCCACTTACACATCAACCCTGATGTGAGTTAGTCCCTTGGTCATGTCTCTTTCTCTCCACTTACACATCAACCCTGATGTGAGTAAGTCCCTTAGTCATGTCTCTTTCTCTCCACTTTTACATCAACCCTGATGTGCGTTAGTCCCTTGGTCATGTATCTTTCTCCACTTACACATCAACCCTGATGTAAGTTAGTCCCTTGGTCATGTCTCTTTCGCTACACCTATACATCAACCCCGATGTGAGTAAGTCCCTTGGTCAGGCCTCTTTCCCTCCACTTACACATCAACCCTGATGTGAGTAAGTCCCTTAGTCATGTCTCTTTTTCTCCACTTTCACATCAACCCTGATGTGCGTAAGTCCCTTGGTCATGTATCTTTCTCTCCACTTACACATCAACCCTGATGTGAGTTAGTCCCTTGGTCATGTCTCTTTCGCTACACTTATACATCAACCCCGATGTGAGTAATTCCCTAGGTCATTTCTCTTTCTCTCCACCTGCACATCAACCCCAATGAACATTGCTTCAAAACTCAATCATGTCTTGGATGAAAGAAGATGCTACTTACAGGTTGGTTACTATACATAACTGAACACCGGTATGTGTGATTAATATACATCTGTAAGAACATAGAGCCAACATATAAACATCCTCAGAAGTAAATGTGTCAAACTGGATACATCTTACCAACTCTTTTGTTGAGGAGCACTCCTTGTTGGGCCATCTTAATAGCATGAATGTAAGCAAAGTTAGCTGACTGGCCTAGCATCTCACAATAGATGAGTCGAACCATGAATTCTTTCATCTTTTTCTACAAGAAAAAAACCAAAACAAAACAAATTCCTGAATATTAATATCTCAATGTTCTGTCTATGATTTATGATTAATTTGAGTGTGGATATCTGAAAAGGTACTCCAAATTAAGATGATTGCATAACTTTACACTAAACCTTTCTGCACTGACCTTTCTTATCCGTGAGTAAAAAATATGTTAGTTATAGTACATTTGTATCTGTCATAATAAGACGGATTTGTGGGGTAATACTAATGTGGTAACATGACTTAACAACAAAGTGAGTAATAAAACGTAATATTAATCAGTGAGTAAAAATATGTGAAACAGTAATAGTACATTTGTATCTGTCATAATAAGACGGGTTTGTGGGGGTAACACTAAAGTGGTAACATGGCTTGATAACAGAGGACAGGAAAAAAAAGAAGTTAGAAGATAGATGAAACTGTCAGCTTTTGACAATTAAGAATGCAGTCATCCGTAGACTGTGGCTGTGAAACCAACAATACAAAACCATTGGCACAGATATAAACCATATTTTATGAAGAACTTTGGGATATGGTATTGCATCTCCAACATGCCGCTCCCTAAACTCAATCCATTAATGACCCCTTGACCTTTGATATCTGACCTGATGAACCACAAATCTATTCAATGCACAGTGATGAACCACCAATCTGTTCAATGCACAGTGAAATTATAAATATATTATTTACTGGTTCATTTTTTAATGATGGAATTTCATCACTTTTACTGAGACCAAAACAGCTAAATGTAACATAAAACCCAAGAATTTCTCTATTCCTATAAATCAAACTGTGATTACACTGGTGAACTTATTACTTGACGATTCATACATTTTAGTATGATATTAACAAACTTAAACCATTTTTTATTTTAAAAATAGCTACAGAACTGTTCTTGTATTATTTGCCCCTGTATTTAGTACCATATTTGTTATTGTATTTGTTAAAGTTCTTGATACCATATTTGTTATTGTATTTGTTAAAGTTCTTGATACCATATTTGTTATTGTATTTGCCTTTGTAGTTATTACCATATTTGTTATTGCATTTGTTATTGCATTTGTTATTGCATTTCATTTGTTATTGTATTTGTTATTGTATTCATTAATGTATTCGTTATTGTATTTATTACCATATTTGTTATTGTATTTGTTATTGCATTTGTTATGTTATTTGCCTTTGTATATATTTGTTACTGTTCTTGTTATTGTATTTGTCATTGTGATTTTGTGACCCTGCCTCTTGTCAGTCGAGGAGGAAGTATTTTAATTCTTATGACAGAGGACCTGAATATTTTTCATGTAACTTCTTTGATTTTCTTCTTCTGAAATAAAGATGATTTATTTAATACATGTACCTGAGTCAAGCTCGATCAGAACTGCTTCCATAATTGCCAAATAAATATAGTAATTTCTTTTGCTTACAATTTAACATTGTCAGCTTTGATCTCTTTCACCAAAAAATTCATCAGCTCCTCATTTCATGCCTTTTCCAAATTGAGCTAAGTTTTGATATTGCCTCAAAGGTATTCAAGTTGCACAACAATACATTTTTCTGGAATTAAAAAAAAAATCATTGTTTAGAGGGCCACATTACCCTATAAATAATAGTCACAATTTTGATAAACTTAATGGTTTATGATTCTATACATGATAGTTAATGGTATATCATTTCTTATCATCACTATTATTCTTATCACATCGGTCCTGAGATAATTATAAGAACATTATAGAAATTGTAGAGGAGAATGTCAAAGTTCCCTTGCTTGCATAAATATAAAAACAAGCACCAATCAAAATATAATTACCAAAATATCTAGCATTTCGGTACTGTATTTTGTATTGTCAGGTCAAAATTAACTAGAGACATATTGAAAGATAAAGAATAACCTACCAGTGAGACATCGGGTTGGGACAAATTCTGTCTTATAAGATCCAGCTCCTTTTGCACAATACGCTCTTCTTCCTATACCAAGAAGAAAGTAAGTAATCAATGTTTTTGTTACAATAAAAAAGAATGGATTTCATTGTCAGCCCGAAAATCGCTCAATTTCGTGATTGTGTACAAAACATATGGAAGTTTCATTTTTCCAAAAAGGAGATAAAACAGTGGTTATTTGGTCTTGTTTATAATTTAGGTGTTTTTTTTGCGGTTCAACATAGTTGAATTATAGTAAGAATTAAAAATGAAACAACAAAAACAATAAAATACATAAATTAAAAAAATAAAGAAATAGATAACAAAAGGAATAACCTGGCTCTTCCAATTTTTTGTGTGTATTATTATCCCAAATGGTCTAAAGAATATTAAGGCTGTGCATAACCGAGTAATGAGGTACTCGAGTACTGTTACACTCCCAGGCTTACAGGCGAATACTAGAATACTCGTACGCCATGTATTTTTTTGCCACCACCATACTACGGCAGCAGTAAATTCCGGGTCCGTCTCAAAAAACTCACTCAATTTTACTTTGATTTGCAGTTGAAGGCGCCGATTTAATAATAATAATAATAATAGTAAACAATGCTGTTTTAAAAACCAAAGATGACAAACTAATCCATCTTCCTCCGAGTCCCAACAGAAATCCGGACATTCGGTCCCAGTTTCTGAGTGGTGAGTTGACAGTGATTGAGCTGGGAAACATTTTACCCACGGTACCATGATGGCACTGGGCACAGGTAGGCGTCGGCCTGGACACTGCCAGGTGTACGGGCAAAAAAAAAAGGAAAAAATCGCGGCCGAGTATTCGAGTACGAGAAATCGTAGAAATCGTACTCTAGTAGTTGTCAACAACTTTTCGACTACTCGCCGTAGCCTTAGAGAATATATGTAGTGAAACTTATGTCTAAATACGAAAAATATATGATTTATGGGTAAATATGTGAATTGTATTATCTTATATGCATAAATTACCATAAATATGCAAATGAGTAAATTTTTCAACAAAAAAAATAAATTACCATAGTTATCTATACACTTCACTTGACGGTGATTGGCTGTTCAACAGCCGTGATCATAGGGGGGGGGGGGGGGAGGTGGCGGAGGGAGGGCGTTTCAAAAAGCTGCTCGTAAAGTTACGCATAACTTTACGAATGACTGATTAATATGTAAAGCCAAATGGGATGCTCAATCATTTTTAACTGCATCAACTAAAGTTGAACTGTGCAGATTTAGATTAACATTCTCTTCATAACAAATGTTTAATGCAAAGTTTATTTATTTGCCATAATTTAATTGAGGTTATTGAAAATATAGTCACACTTTGTTAAAACATCAGGAAAAACTTTTGGCATCCTATCTGGCACATCATATTAAAATCGTTCATAAAGTCATATGTAACTTTACAAACAGCTTTATGAAACACCCCCAAGGCTAGATAGGGTTAATAGAGTTCTAGATTACCCCTTTTGAGTTGGACCTCCTGATTGCTCTAATGAGACTGTAGAAGCCACTAGATATAGCAGTGTTCCTTGGTCCACCTATAAAGCCAGAATATGACAATGCCTTGTCCATGGTTGTAGTCTTGACCTATGAGAAAGAGAGAATTGAGTCATCAATGACAGGGTTAAGATGTACATACAATCTCAGAAATGTTGCGATTTTTGGTAATCTGATAAAAGAACCTGAGGCTTTCGGTCTATATTACTCTTTGCATGTAACTAAGAAAAGAAGGAGAAGAACACTCAACTTGCTCGATTCATACTGCAACAACAGCATCACTTAATTGTAGCAACATTACTATCTTCTGTGTGTAATAAAAAAAATCTCAAGACACCCTATTACCCACACTTGTTAAGTTAGCGACCTTATTGATGAATTGCTTAGTTTACAGTCGCTACCACATGTGCGCGCCTGCACCCCACCGTCACTAAGATATGCAATTGTATTGTGCAGCAGTTTACTGTGAATCCTGTGAGAAAGTATATAATAAGTCTTCTTTTTTAGGAAAGATACTGCAAAGAAAAGAAAATTGACACGAAACAGGTAAGAAACATAACGACTGTTAAATCATGACCATTTCATGTAGTTGAATAATTGATAAATATTTACATCATTTTCGGTATGTTTTTTAGTAGGGTATCTGCCTGGCGCTAGTTCAAAGGTCTATTCAAAATTTGACCCGTAACTCCGGCATGGAGATACCCTACTAGTAAAACATACCCAAAATGAAGTAAATAGTCATCAAATATCAAATAAAGATTATGTTTTAAAAGTTGTTATGTTTCTTACCTGTTTTGTGTCAATTTTCTTGCTTTTTTTTAAAGTATTTTTTCGGAAAAACAATAATATTATTAGTATACACCGAGGGCGATCGTGGGTTGCAGGCGGGCGCGTGCACGTGAAGTTATCTACCGTAATGTCTCAGATCCTCATTATGGTAGATAACTTCACACAGGCGCGTGCGCGCCCACCCACAACCCACGATCGGCCTCGGTATGCCCTTGTATTGTGCAGCGGTTTGCCGTGAAACCTGAGAAAAAGTATATAGACCTTTACTATAGAGTCTAGACTAGATCTAGTAATATCATTGTTTTTTTCGAAAAATACTCCAAATATAACAAGAAAATTGACACGAAATATATAACTTTTAACTCATGATCTTTATTTGGACATTTAATGAATATTTACTTCATTTCGGGTATGTTTTAGTAGGGTATCTCCATGCCGAGCCGGAGTTACGGGTCAAATTTTGGATAGATAGGTCTAGGTTTCTGAATAAGCGCCGATCTATTTAGATCTAGGTCTAGACCGAAAGCTTCAGTCTCTCTAATCGTCGGTTGTTCCACTGAGACTACGTCTGGCTCCACTAGACCTCCGATTATTTCGGGACTGTACGGGACTGTACAGAACAAATGGTTCGGTTTGACCGGACCGCGATGAATGAGATATGCAACGAGATTTTCACTCTTTACATCCTCATAACTGCTGCAATTATAATAAAAATTAAAAATAACATATATATAACTTATTTGACTTACGATAGCTTGCTCATTTAGATCCTAAATTAATGATTAATCCGAGAAAGTCTCGTCGTCAACATTATCCGTCTTGGTACGTTTTAGTTGATGAATATTCATTTTTCTTTTCGAACGTCCAATAGCTACCGTAGCTACGTACGATTCAGCCCGGCTTGACCAACGAACTCCCACGAAACGAGTGCTCTGATTGGCCATTGGCTATGTTTTGGTAGGAATTGACCCGGAAATATATATCGGCCGCCGGGTCGATATAGCTCTATGTTCTAGTGCATGAACGTGCATGAACGTACTGTTTCACACTTCAAAGATACAAATTGGATAAATTCATATAAGTAAGTCTGAAAATTTCACATTCTATGATAGGTTAGCAAATTTTGAAAACTGTAATTAGGAGATATAGTCTATAGACCGACCTAATTTACATCTGATTTAGAAATCAGAAAATTATATAGAAGTCTAGACCTAGATCTAGAAAGAAAATCGGGAAGAAAATGTCGTGAACGAAAAGATGTTCATAGCTACCCCCACGGTACGAGATCTCTGGGTTGGGGAATGACAACAAATGTCAGTTTTATTAAAGAAATGACCCAAATCAGATGGTTATTTCTGTCTAATCTACATCTAGGTCATCATAGGGTCTATTCTAGATCTAGACTAGGCGTCATGAATCGTCACTAAAATTAAAGTACCGATTTTTAGTGAAATCAGTTGAGTTTTGTACAGTGGTGTTTGAAATATTGAGAATCAATAGACCAGCTTTTAATACACAGCCAGGATAGTAATGCATCTAGAATATCGTAGTCATGGTAGTCGTACTCAGCTCAGAAGCCTAATTATGCTAATACGCCCGGGTATTGGCCTCCATACATGTATAAGAACGTGTGGGACTGTAATATACTAATATCCTAAAAATGAAAGAAACTTTTGATACAACATTCTACCCTGAATATCGGTGAAAACAACCTTTGTGCCTATTCCTATATTTCACGTGGACCTTACTTACAAGGAACGTACTTCAATCAGTGAAATCAGGCCTTAGATGTGAGTAAATTCGGATCATTTCATTCATCGCGTCAGATTCCATGTAGTCTACTATGTAGACTACATGATACACATCTGTTGTTATTGTTGTTATTGTTAATTGTTGGCGTTTAGATGGCGCTCTTCAATCTTGTCAGATTATCTGCGCCACCCACTGATTTTTCCGTAGAGATCAGTGGCGCCACCGCGTTCCTTCTTTGGTGTTCATCTTTTCGAACTTGATCTCATGGCTTACTTTTACTGATGGGGGAACTGTCTTTCCAGGCTCCTATTTTTGAGTTCAGAGTTAGCTTAGCTATAGGCCTATCTGTTTCAGGGAAGTGCTACTGTGCAAGATTAAAGTACAAGGCCAGTCCAAAAATAATTTACTTTCAATAGAAGCAGAAAAATCAGACAGACCAATCAAAAAAAGTAGTTATCCGATTTTGTTCAAACTTCTTTTGATTGGTTTGTCTGATTTTTCTGCTTCTATTAAAAGTAAGTTATTATTGGAGTGAACTTAATTGTCCTTTAAGTAAATTTAATTTCCCTTCACCATTAGAAGTGCATGTATAATCATAAGGATAACAGCTCTATGATTTTAATACTGATGATCATATTCAAATATTTCAATTATCATAATCATACACACACAGAGGAATTCCCTAAAAAGTAAAACAAATACTTCTCAACATATCGATTAAAAAAAAAAAAATTCCAATGGACGTTCACCATATTCCACTAGTAGTGCGCGGAGTGAGGTATTTTAGACAGCTCCTATTATAATTTTCAATGATTGATATTGTATTGAGTCTAATTCTTTCTGTACGTACGGATTGTCAACCTTTTATAATTCCCTCCCTCTGTTGTCTTGTGCCCGTTGTGTGCTGTGCCTTTTGTCGATGTGCTGTAGTCTTTTATTATTAATCATATTTTCTCTTTTCTCCTGTCTAGTCTCGTCTCTTGATTTTCTTTGTTGTTGTTGTGTGTGTACACTTTTTGTTTCTATACCACCTTTATCCTAATGTATCCTTAGGTAAATACAACTTTGTACCCCCATCAGAGGTGGCGTAGCGACTTCCAAAGTGAGGGGGCACCAACAAAAAAGGGCACTTTCTGGAAAAAGAGGGCATCTTCATAGGGAAATCTCAAAGCGAAAATACACAATTTTTTAGACATTAATTGCCGGGTATACCCCTAAATTGATAGCTTTGGAGATGTTTGTCAACCTTGTCCCCATCCCTATACATTATCTTGCAATAATTTCCACACTTAACTTTTTTTAAGGTTGGAAATGTTGGGTGGGGGTGGGGGGGGGGAGGGGTTGATCAAAATCTTTGCTCTTGGAAAATGAAATATCAAAGTACTCCATATACAAATAGAAACACAGAACTAATGTATTTTCAAAAAGTATAAAGCTTTATTTATTGACTACAGCCTTGCAAAATAACATAAAAACTATCACCACATAATATTGACAGATAATTGGTTTTCATGAGAAAAACATAATATTAAATAGCCCACACACAGAAAAACCGTATACTCGGAAAACTAGATGGAACTTTGACTGCGCGCAGTCGAAAATGATGCCTTCGTCATAGGGCAATTTTACATTTTACATTTCTCATATACATGTATGACCCTTTGATCTTTGACCTCATGACCCTAAAATCTACTCAGTTCATTGGCTCTGCAAGATGTCCCGAGTTTGATAGTAATCCATCTGTCAGTTCTAATGAGAATGCATTCACAAGCTGTTTTTGCATACATAATGAGCCCTGTGACCTTTGACCTTTCACCCTGTGACCCCAAAATCTAATCAGTTCATCGGCTCTGCAAGATACATACATGACCAAAGTTTGGCAGGAATTCATCAATTGGTTCTTCAGATAACGCGATCACAAGCTGTTTTTGCATACATAATGAGCCATGTGACCTTGGACCTTTGACCCCGTGACCCCAAAATCTAGTCAGTTCTTTGGCTTTGCAAGTTACATACATGACCAAAGTTTGGAAGGAATCCATCAGTCGGTTCTTGAGATAACGCGATCACGAGAACGGGACGTACGGACGGACGGACAACCCGAAAACATAATGCCTCCGGATACTTCGTAACGGAGGCATAAAAAAAAAGGTGGACACTATTTAAAAACAAGATTTCTTTCACCCATGAAAATAAATACAAATTTACTCTGTTTGAGATGATGTGCAATTGGAATCATACCATTCATGCATGAGTGAGTATAGCTACTTAAACTAGATGGAATTCGACTGCGCGCAGTCGAAAATGATGCCTCCGTCATAGAGCAATTTTACAAACCAAAACAGAACACATTTTTTGAATTCAAGTTCAATTGTAATCCATTAACAGGTTCTCAGAATATCGTGATTACAAGCAATTTCTCATATACATATATGACCCTTTGATCTTTGACCTCATGACCCTAAAATCTACTCAGTTCATTGGCTCTGCAAGATGTCCTGAGTTAAATAGTAATTCATCTGTCAGTTCTAATGAGAATGTGTTCACAAGCTATTTCTACATACATAATGAGCCCATGACCTTTGACCTTTGACCTTATGAACCAAGAATCTATTCAATTCATTGGCTCTGCAAGTAACATACATGACCTAATTTTGGCAGGAATCCATCAATCGGTTCTTGAGAACGCGATCAAGAGCTGTTTTTGCATACATAATGTGCATTGTGGCCTTTGACCTTTGACCTCGTGACCCCAAAATCTAATCAGTTCATCTGCTCTGCAAGTAACATACATGACCTAAGTTTAGCAGCAATCGATCAATCGGTTCTTGAGATAACGCAATCACAAGCTGTTTTTGCATACATAATGTGCGCTGTGGCCTTTGACCTTTGACCTCGTGACCCCAAAATCTAATCACTTCATCGGTTTTGCAAGTAACATACATGACCTAAGTTTGACAGCAATCCATCACTCGGTTCTTGAGATAACGCGATCACGAGCTGTTTTTGCATACATAATGAGCCCTGTGACCTTTGACCTTTAACCTCATGACCCCAAAATGTAATCAGTTCTTTGACTTGGCAAGATACATACATGACCACAGTTTGGCAGGAATCCATCAGTCGGTTCTTCAGATAACGCGATCACGAGCTGTTTTTGCATACATAATGAGCCCTGTGACCTTTGACCTTTGACCTCGTAACCCCAAAATCTAATCAGTTCATCGGCTCTGCAAGATACATACATGACCAAAGTTTGGCAGGAATCCATCAATCGGTTCTTCAGATAACGCGATCACGAGAACGGGACGTACGTACGTACGTACAGACGTACGTACGTACAGACGGACGGACGGACGGACAACCCGAAAACATAATGCCTCCGGCTACTTCGTAACGGAGGCATAAAAATAAATGGGTCTCTCAGAGAAAATACAAAAAATGGGGCATCTGGCCTTGCAAATATTGGTGAGCATTTGAGGTATCCTACGGCTTGTCCCCAATATTTGGTGAAAAAGAGAGGAACCATGACCATGCAGTCCTCAGAATTAACATTCAGAGCTCGATCCTCCCAATTGTCTCTCTTTCTTTGTTTTCGTTGTTTAAAACAAAATATTCTTACAGATACACATGTTCATGAACATGTGAATGGCAACTTGCTCTATATTTGCAAAGGTCTTAACCCTATTTTAACTGGGCTATTTCAGACCAGGTTTTTACTGGGGGGGGGGGGGGGGTCAATTTGACCCCCCCCCCCCCCCCAAGATCTCGGCCGTTTCACCGCCGATCGCCGCGAAAATTTGCATGCATGTCAAGTGAAGTGTATAGAATACTATGGTAATTTCAAAGTTTTGAAAAATTCACTCATTTGCATATTTATGGTAATTTATGCAAATAAGGTCATCAAATTCACATTTCTGCCCATAAATCATAGATTATTCATGTTTACGTATTCCTTTTTACTACATATATTTATTAGACCATTTGGAATAATAATACAACACAACAAATTGGAAGAGCCAGGTTATTCCTTATGTTATCTCTTTCTATATATATATATATGTGTGTGATAAAATGTCAATTTATTTTTCCGCATGGTTCATAAAACATCAGACCACGATTGCATACCACTATGACAATATCAACCTTATACTTAAAAATTATGTCATATCTATTATACAAACAACAAGGGTAGTCCAACACCTACATTTTCAATTTTCTATTGATTACATTATAAATGAATTAAAAATGTAAGTTTGTAATTGCAATATGAATGTATATTCAAAACAATCTATTATGAAGTAGAAACCAACACACAACAAATCGTATACATTACGGTACATATAATTATTGCAAAAGTATGCTATTCCATCTAATTTGACTCTACCTCCATGAATTTGCAATTATTTCTACTGCAATGACTATAATAAAAAATCAATTCCCTATTACTGAATAGGAACAGCATCAATGATAACTTATACATGTAAAGGTGAAATGATGATTCATGTATCTGTAAGATACTGTAATGATTAGCTCTTACCATTTCAATTATCTTTGACTGAACTATTTGAATGTGGAAGTGCATTTTATCATGTCCATTATATGGAAACCATTGCAATTCAAACCAGGGAGAGAATGCTCCTTTGAAAAGTGGTTGTCAAAAATTTCATGTCAAATTACCCAGGCCCCCCCCCCCAGTACAGGTTCTAGGGCTGTAAAACATTAAATTTTACATTTATAATGGTAGAGTTTCTCGTAATCCTTAGCATTTTTAGCTTATTCTAATACTATGTATCACAATGGTAATGTAAAATTTAAATTTCATAATCCAATCCTGTTGAAATATTACCAAAACTTTGGATTAGCTTTAATGTGATTAGCTTTAATCTATGATGATTAATATCTTAACCTAGTGGCTAATAAATTCTTTATTTCCCAAAGGCTTAATACAAGGGTCAGGAGCCACCTAATTCCTGTAGGCAATGGGTCAATTTTCTGCTTGCATTAAAGCACACTTTCTATGAAGGGATGATTTCCCTTGAAATGGTAAACATCTGAACATATAGGGCATGAACCAGTTTCTATTCATACATTACTAGATACGAGTACATAATGATAGAGCCAGGATTAGCAGTGGGATTGGGGTCAGTTCCATTGAACCAACCAAAGTATTTGATAGTATTGAATCCTTCCATATTGATTTGAGATGTAATATCAAGAACCCATGGATCTACCTCTCTACCATCACACCAACCATCCCGTCCATACAGCCAGGTCCCATGCTCATTGGGTTCTACGCCTGTAACAGATCTCTCCGCACACCCCGTTGGAGTACCTTCAAAGATAGACAAAAAATATTGTAAATGGGAGTCCACCTCTTTGAAATTATATCAAAGTGAAAACAATAAATGAAACAACCGGCAACAGCAATTTATTATTATCATTATTAATATTATTATTATTATTATCATTATTTCAACTGCAGTCAGACCTGTGTATCATGTACCTATTATTTTTTTCATAACGTAGCCATGGTGTCATTCTATGAATCAAGCTTTTAAATTGTAATTTGATATAATTAGCATTCTAAGAAAATAAAATTTGGATTAACAAATGCATGCCTCAGAAGAAATCAAGACTTTTTTGAACAAAACTTAATGGGAAATGTATGATCTTATTTCTTTAAACAAATCTTCTTCTTCTTCATATTTAATGATAACTACAGAGCTGTCAACCCTCCCACATTTGGAGGGAGTCTAACGCCACCACGCTCATTCTCCCGCCATCCCAATAGGTCGTAGCGGGATACTCCCGCTTTCCGCTTCGATATAGATTCTCCCGTTTTATGAAAAACCTCCTGCCAATCATGGTAAATGGTAAGCACATCAAAAAATGTGCCCTCCCCCCGCTTATTCAGCGGGTGGCTGAGTCGTTGCGACATTTTTGGCGCGATTTTCAAATTTTAAAACACCCCCCTTGTTAAAATCCTGCGTACACCACTGCCATTGAGCAAAACAAAAATTTGCATACGACCTCCCTCGAAGCAATTCCCCAAAGTTGACAGCCCTGTAACTATATCAATCAAGATCACAGCAAATCATGAAGCAATGAAATAGAAATAAAAAAGAGTAGAATATAAAATGAAGGCACAACCCAATAATATACTCAGGATTGATATAGTATTGAATTAAAGATTTTAGTCTAAATTTATCAAAGGTTCTAATAAAATAGTCTTTTATAAATATAATTTTATAAATTATAAAGCTAATGTAAACAGCAATTTTTAACAACAAATTTGGTTCTCAAAAGTGTCAGTACTTTTGTAGGAATCTGTTTCTTCATGTTCCTCCATGGCCTATCCCCTCAAAGGGGTTTTAGCATTAAACATACAACTTACCAGCATTAGTAAATGTGTTGACATTTGGATGGCTATTAACAATGAAGTGATGGGATGTTACACAGAATTCTCCACATCCATTATTATCACTTCCATGCCCAGTAATCACTGAATACAAGATGACCTGAGAGAAATGTATGCACATAGATGTTATTGTTAATATCATATCCTGGCAAATTATACATGGCCTGCAATCAAAAATTAAAAAGTAGTTTGGAAAAGAGAAGAAAATTACACTATTTACTGAATGCATCATATCTATCATAACAGGGTAATCAGTATTTCTAAGAACTTTGGAAACAACAGAAATCATTCAACAGGGAAACAATAGTCTTTAAGGGTAAGCTTATCAGGACAATTTTCCAAGAGAGAGATGTTGGAGAAAAGAGATATTTTGAGTCAGACAGACCAAGTCACCATACAGCTTGAGAAAAAAAAAGATACAGAGTAAGAAAGAGAAAAATAAGGGAAAAATGATAGACAGAGAGATAAAAAGGAGAAATACCTTTTTGGTTGTATGAGGGACTGTAAAGTTGATTGGTTTGTAATGAGCATTGTAGGACTGGTTGAATGTTCCTCCTTGGAAGAGTGTCAGAACTTGATGTGGCCGTCCGTCAGTAAAAACTTGATCTTTATTAAACATACCAAAAATATCAAAGTTAACTTGCTGAATCAAACAACACTATTTCATAGCATTGTTCAGGTAAACCATACACTTCAAACAAAATAAATTGGGGATTCCAAAGAAGGGTCAAAGTCAAGATCAAGTCATAAGGTCATTTCCACCATTATGGGGCTCTGAAGTATTTTCAGTAGATGTTCACCTACTGTTGCCATATCAACAATTCGGATGGCTATACAAGGGTGTTTTAGACTTTGATTTATGCTACTGTCAGAAACTGTATATTTTGAATTGTATTTTTTTCCATAGATGTTAAAGGATAACATAAACTAAAAAATGAAAAAATGAATTATGTCACCTATTAAAGATATAGGGTCCCCTTAGCCCATTGAATATGATTTCTCTCATTCCTATAGACTTAATACAGGAGCCACCAGGTTCCCATTAACATTGATTTCTCTCATTCCTATAGACTTAATACAGGAGCCACCAGGTTCCCATTGGCATTGATTTCTCTCATTCATATAGACTTAATACAGGAGCCACCAGGTTCCCATTGGCATTGATTTCTCTCATTCATATAGACTTAATACAGGGGCCACCAGGTTCCCATTGGCATTGATTTCTCTCATTCATATAGACTTAATACAGGAGCCACCAGGTTCCCATTGGCATTGAGTTCTCTCATTCATATAGACTTAATACAGGAGCCACCAGGTTCCCATTGGCATTGATTTCTCTCATTCCTATAGACTTAATACTGGAGCCACCAGGTTCCCATTGGCATTGATTTCTCTCATTGCTATAGACTTAATTCAGGAGCCATCAGGTTCCCATTGGCATTGATTTCTCTAATTCCTATAGACTTAATACAGGAGCCACCAGGTTCCCATTGGCATTGAGTTCTCTCATTCATATAGACTAAATACAGGAGCCACTAGGTTCCCATTGACATTGATTTCTCTCATTCCTATATACTTAATACAGGAGCCACTAGGTTCCCATTGGCATTGAGTTCTCTCATTCCTATAGACTTAATACAGGAGCCACCAGGTTCCCGTTGGCATTGAGTTCTCTCATTCATATAGACTAAATACAGGAGCCACTAGGTTCCCTTTGACATTGATTTCTCTCATTCCTATAGACTTAATACAGGAGCCACCAGGTTCCCATTGGCATTGATTTCTCTCATTCCTATAGACTTAATACAGGAGCCACCAGGTTCCCATTGGTATTGAGTTCTCTCATTCCTATAGACTTAATACAGGAGCCACCAGGTTCCCATTGGCATTGATTTCTCTCATTCATATAGACTTAATACAGGAGCCACCAGGTTCCCAGTGGCATTGATTTCTCTCATTCCTATAGACTTAATACAGGAGCCACCAGGTTCCCATTGGCATTGAGTTCTCTCATTCCTATAGACTTAATACAGGAGCCACCAGGTTCCCATTGGCATTGATTTCTCTCATTCCTATAGACTTAATACAGGAGCCACCAGGTTCCCATTGGCATTGATTTCTCTCATTCCTATAGACTTAATACAGGAGCCACCAGGTTCCCATTAACATTGATTTCTCTCATTCCTGTAGACTTAATACAGGAGCCACCAGGTTCCCATTGGCATTGATTTCTCTCATTCCTATAGACTTAATACAGGAGCCACCAGGTTCCCATTAACATTGATTTCTCTCATTCCTGTAGACTTAATACAGGAGCCATCAGGTTCCCATTGGCATTGATTTCTCTCATTCCTATAGACTTAATACAGGAGCCATCAGGTTCCCATTGGCATTGATTTCTCTCATTCCTATAGACTTAATACTAACCCTTTAACAAGGGATGAGAGACAGATTGTGTCATCATAATGAGAGAATATAATACAGTTTTGTTGTTATAAGCCATTCCTTGATTTGGTGGACTGACCTCGAGACCAGACGAAAGATTGCCCGACTCAATATGATGTACAAAATCAAGGCAATCCTCGTAGACGTTGACTGGAACCCCTACTTAACCAGACCATCTCGCCAACTTAGACGCACACACTCATCATTCTTCCCATGGACTGTTAAATATTGGAACGACCTGCATGCCTCATTACATCCTAGACGCCCCAAACATAGATATTTTTAAGAGAAGGCTCTGGGATTTTTTCACAAACACCAAACTGAAATAATTCCACCAGGTCAACCTCCAGGTCAGCCCTCTGACGCGATGCAGGATCCAGCTTTGTCTGAGTAAAATCCAGAACCAGAACCAGAGTTGACATTAACAACTTTCCCTTTCAACTGCCTAAAATAATGTCAATAAGTCAGCTATTAATGTAAGACTCAGATAACGCACACACATAATGACTTTGAACCCACATTCATTGCTTCAGCCCGAACTTGATACAAGAGAATTTTGACAATGCTCTTTTGAAAAGCCTGCTGCTCAGTCATCTGTGGGTTATGAATATGGTATAATTGAAAGCTCAAACGATAACTTACCTGTTTGAAGTTTGAGTGTAATTTTATGAGGGAGTAGAGGGAAGAGATTAATTGAGAGCCCGCTTCAACCATGTGCAATCATTCTTTGTAGCCACAAAATGTGTTCGCTGATCCTGAAAGGTCAGATAACTTGTTTGAATTTACATTTACAATGAACGTGAACTAGAGAATACACTCTATTTAAAGGGAGGGAGAGGGGGGCAATTAATCTCTTCCCTCTACTCCCTCATAAAATTACACTCAAACTTCAAACAGGTAAGTTATCGTTTGAGCTTTCAATTTTACTTCGTGAGTCTTGTGAAGAGACTAATTGAGATTTCGTAGCTCAGCGAAACACATTTTGTAGTTAGTTCACAAACAGCAGTCAGAGTCCCGACTGTAATGTGAATGTGGATCTGTAGTAACACAACAATTTTTGTTATCATAACAAATCAACTGTACTTAACCAGTACGGTATAACAATTTTTTTGGCAACGTCTGTACAACCAACCTGTCAAATTTTGGGTTCAATTCTTGACACTCTGACAGAATATTTTCAGCTAACGCGTAGTTTATTGCTGAAGTACAGCATGTGAGAATTGTTCTCGGTCATCTGTGAGCGGTCTATTATAAAACTGCTGGAAAGTTTTCTCGCTCGACCAGCCAGCTTGGTTTAGAATACATTTGACTGGTACATCGGCCCTGTTAGCTGCCGACACTGCAGCTGATCTCGTGGAGTGTGCCTTGTATTTTCTGGTGTCCACTCCAGCTATAGTTAGGGCCTCTTTAATCCACCGTGATATTGTTTGGGATGAAACTTTCCCATGAGGTTTGCTATGGCTGATGAATAGTTTCCGTTCTTGTCCTCGAACTTCCTCTGTTCTCCTGATGTATGTCCGGAGGTAGTGGACAACGCAGAGTCTCCTATCTGGAGTATACGCCTTAAAGTTGAGCGTGAAACCGTGCTGACCTGGACGGCTTTGCTTTAACAAGTCATCAACCTCAAAGATCACTGAACTTTGTTTCAGTTTCATGTTATCTAGACTTAACAGATGCAATGTTTGAGATCTCTGTGCAGAGATCAAAGCTAACAACAAACACAGTTTGTGGGTTAAACGTTTCAAACTCAGATCTCTAGCTGGTGACCATCTGCGTAAAAGGCCAAGTGCAACGCTCACATTCCATGTGTCCTTGTAACGTGGCGTCGGAGGTCTGAGATTAAATGTTCCTTTTAAAAATCTACAGACCAGTGGGTGTGATCCAACGGGATGAGCACTATGTTCAAGAGATATATACGACGATAATGCACTTCTTGCTGCATTTAATGTACTGTAACTAGCTTTTTCACTGTGAAAAAGTTCTGATAGGAAACTTAAAACATAACTAACTGATGTACGAAGATGATTTGTCTTCTTCCTTTCACAAAATCGTTTCCACTTGGTCCAATAAACTCGATACTGCTTCTTAGTAGAATCCCTCCAAGATGCTGTGAGGACGTCAACGACCCTTTCCTCGAGTCCTATATTCTCGAAGGGTCCCCGGATACCCTGCAACATAAAAGATCAAGACGGTCATGAAGAGGGTGTGGGGTTTGGGAGGTGGGTTGCGTGAGGAGGTTGACGTTCCTTTTAAATAAGAATGGTTCACCAACAAGGATGCTACTGAGACATGGGAACCATGCCTGGGTTGGCCACTTAGGTACAATCAGAATGCCTGTAGCCTTGTCAGCCTTTATTTTTTGGATACATCTTGCCACGAGACAGAAAGGAGGAAATGCATAGAACTCAAATTTTTCCCAATCTAATGTGAAAGCATCCACTGCTTCTGCATTTGGGTCAGGCAGCCATGAAATGTACCTCTCTAGTTGGGTATTTAATCGTGAGGCAAAAATATCTATCTCGGGCTTCCCAAATTTCTGAACTATCTTCGCGAATGCTTCCTTGCTGAGCATCCATTCAGTTCTGTCATTGAAATGACTTGATTTATGGTCTGCCTCTGTATTTTGTTTGCCAGGGAGGTATGCTGCGGTAATCCATATGGTTCTCTTTATGCACCACTTCCAAATGTCTACAGCCAGTTGGTTACAATGGGGGGACTTGATGCCCCCATATTGTTTATGTAGGCTACAGCTGTTGTATTATCAGACCTAATAAGGACATGAGCATTCTTTGTTTGGTTGTGGAATGATTTTAAACCAAACCCTATTGCCAAAGTCTCTAGAAAGTTTATTTCATTGTCTTTTGCTTTTTCTAGTTCAGACTCATTCCACCTTCCCCCGGTGTGAATTTGCATATTTGTTGCACCCCATCCACTGCCGCTAGCATCAGTTCTAATTTCATGAGATGGTTTCTCTCTACTGATGGGTGAAAATGCATACTGAATGTGGTTTAACCACCATAGCAGCTCGTTTTTTGCCTCATTAGAAAGCACCATTGTCCTGTCAAAATGGCCACTGTTTCTTTTAAGTGCTATGATTTTTCCCTTTTCAAGGTTTCTGTAAAACAGTGGTCCATACTGAACAGCGGGGAAAGTGGAAATCAATTTTCCTACGACATGAGCAACTTGCCTAATTGTGGGTTCAGGTTGAGAGAGCAAAGTCTCACATTCCAGCTTGATATTTAGGACTTTATCTGCTGGGAGTTTGAAAATCATATCTACTGTATTGATCATAAAGCCCAAAAATTGGATCTCTTGTACAGGTTTCAACACAGATTTCTTGAGGTGAATCTTAAACCCCAATTCCGAAAATGCCTGCGTGGTTGCTCTAATTGCTGCTTCGACCTGGTATTTAGTTTCACCTATAATGATAATGTCATCTAGATATCCCAAAACAACATGGCCTGCCTCTCGAAGAGAGGCAAATATGGGCTTCAACATTTTTGTGAAAAGTCTTGGCGCAGAGCTAAGCCCATTAGGTAGTGCCTTGTACTGCCAATGATGACCTTGCCAAGTGAATTGCAGGTATTTTCGAAATTCAGGTTCTATTGAGATTGAATAATAAGCGTCTTGGAGGTCGACTGAGGCCATGTAACAGTGTGGGGTCAATAGACATGCCACAGTATGAATGTTGTCCATTTTGAAGTGCTGTTTAACAACATATTCATTTAAGTCCGAAAGGTCTAAAATGAGTCTGACACCCCCATTTTTCTTGGGCCTTGTAAAAATGTTTGATACAAACCCATCCGTGACACACGGAGAGCTGTGTTCTATCACATTCTTGTTCTTCAGGTTTTCTAATTCTTTCTGAATATTTATAATTTCTGAAGCACTTCTTTTGTACTGCCGAGAAACATTAGTTCTAGTAGGGCAGATTAATGTTGGGTCAAATTCTATCTTGTACCCCTTTACTGCTTCGAGAATGACATGGTCTGAAGTGATCTTCTCCCATTCTCGAAAAAATAGTCTCACTCGACCTCCAACTGGTGACGCTTGATCAGAATTTTCAGTAACTTTGGGTATTGATATAAATGATTGTGAAGGGCTACTTACCTCTTGGGGTATGTTAGCAGCTACTTTTTCTGCAGGTTCGGACGATAGCGACCCTGCGACGCCACTGGCTGCCTCGGCGCTTGGGCCTGCGTGCGCCCCCTGAAAGGCGCTCTCCTGCCTAAAAAAGGCCGATATGGCGTCCCTGAAGTAGGTCGGCTGTTTGAGGATGACGACCATCCCGCAGATCTGTACTGCTGTGAGCGGTAAGTATCAGTTGCCTTGTATGGGTGATACGTAGTCTGGCCGGGTCGAGCCCGAACCTTACTCTGATCAGCAGATTTCACAACACCTAATGTCGCTTTCTGTTCTTCTTTCAGGTCTTTTACTCTCTTTCCTAAATCATCCCCAAAGAGGAATTTTGTCACCGGTGCCTTGCACAGGTGAGAGTAGGCCGGGTTCATGTCAGGTTTAATTAGTTCCTTACGCAGTGAGTTCATCTCAAAATTGGCATTGGATAGTAACGCTAAGGCGTCCTGCTGCGTCTCCGTGAGGTGTGTAGATGAAAGCGAGCGTGTATAAGCGGTTAAGCCCCTCGTGAGTAACTTCTGGACTCTTGTCAGTTTCAGGTCACGACTTCGTGTGAACGGCGACAGCTTTTCCCAAATTACCGGGTTAACTTTTGGTACATCGAGGATGGGGCAATTACTCGGTGGTAAGTACTTAGCAGTTGTCTCTTCAAGAACTTTATCCTCAAGTTTGGTATTTGACAAGTAAGAAGTGGAACTAGCTACTTCATCGTCGAGTGGTGAACCCACGTCTGTTTGCACTGCAAATTTCATTGCGAACGCAGGAATAATTGTTTCAGAGTCAGCATGCTGCTGCCCCATTTCATCCTCAAGCACTGACTCATCTCCACCATAAACATATGTAATGTCTTCGTCTATCCCCGGCAAAATGCATGGTGGGGACCCAGTATGGTGGCTTGTGCTTGCATAATCATATCGATCCGCCTGTGGAACCGGTGGGGTTGGGGTTGGACTTTGGGTTTGTGGGAGCGCCTCAACCACCCGCGACAACATTTCTTCCAGCTTCGATAGACTACTAATAGTAGCGGGCAGTGATTTCTCTTTTGTCTTTTTGGTCGATCTCAAAGTCACTTTCTTTTTCCCCGTATCTCCCGCGGAACCTTTTGGTTCATGCTGCGGTTTGTTGAGCGTGGTGGTCGCGGGGTGCTTGGACCCATGGTGCGATACCGCTCCCTGGAGTTCGGTGTGAGAGTCCCTGTCCTTGCCCGCTGTATCCGCGGGAATCGGAGTGGCCGATGCCATGACGAAAACGTAGTTGAAAACTCGAAAAAAGGCCCGACAAAGTCCAAAATGATCCAAAATGAAGGCAAACGTAAGATGACAATTGACATCCGCCGAAAAAACACAAATTTCCCCGGAAACGATCGTCGAAATTTCCCAATATTATTGATTGCGTGAAAGAGTTGTCTTCCAAAATGGCGACGAAGCGATAATGATTGCACATGGTTGAAGCGGGCTCTCAATTAGTCTCTTCACGAGACTCACGAAGTAAAATTAGACAGGGTATTATTTACCAGCCTGCGCCTGTGACACGGAAGGGGATCAATTTGATACTGCTCCATGCTCTACAACTAACAGTCATGAAGGCAATAATGCTAAAGGTCACATAGTGTATAACATGTTAATTAGAAGCTACCAAAGTGGGCTATACTTTCATATGCACTGGACCTGGCATTGCACATATCAGATAAATGCTAACTTCATACCTGATTTATGGAGTCTAAGATTGAGAGAAGGTTTCCATGGCTGAGCCCACCATGCATCGCTTTTCATTGTGAAGGTGCATGTAGTAGATGTGAAAAGTGGAGCTAATGGAGTAATATCCGTCAGCCATCGCCCTATACGTCTGCATAGAAAAAATGTTAATGGAGATTATTTTGTAATTCATTTTCCAGATATAGATTCCCTCAAACAATATATCAGTACTGTAACTTATCAAACATATTACTTGGAATAACAAAGAAAGGACACCCAAGTTAAATTAATTCCTTGTTTACTGGCAATGAATTTCACATTATCTGGATAATAATCTGTATGCTTTCTAACATTCCCTTTAATAAGTTTCTAAGGTCATGTATTACTATAAAAGACCATTGTCTAAAAATATAAAAAAGTTTCTTCTCCAAGATTTGGCACCTTCAGGACCATTCACACTTGCAGGCAAACATGCCTAAAGATGCCAAAGCGGGTCCTTACTGCGATCTCCACCGGACATGTTTTTCCAGCCTTTAGAAAGGCAATAGTTTGAGCATGAGACTGGGAACATTACGAAAAGCTCTCGTTAAAACTATACCCCACCACTATAGCACAGCAGTCAATGTAATCTGGTGGGGTAGCACTACCCGAGATTCGTTTCTCTCGTTAAAACTTTGTAATCTGGTGGGGTAGCAATACCCCAGTTTCGTTTCTCTCGTTAAAACTTTGAGAGAGCTACTACTATTACACAGGCACCAATGGGAATCTGATGGGGTCTCACTACCCCACTTTCAATTCTCTCGTTAAAAACTTGGACAGAGCCTTGAGGCTCTGAGTGAGAGATTAAGATATTGGATTGCAGCTGGACTCTACATCATCTTATACGTAATACTAGTGTAAACAAACTCTTACTGGGGTCTGCCTGAAAGGAAATGAGAAGTAGGAAATAAGTATTTTACTTGTTTTAAGATATTTTCATGTCCTAAAGTCACTAATAATTTAGATGAAGACCAAAATGAAAGTTCGAACGAAGCAAAATGACCCATAATTGGCGATATAACAACAATTTTAACTCTGGAAGCGAACCCCTGCATGTGTCTCTTTCTCCCTTCTCCCTTCCTTTCCCCTTGTATCATGCTTATCTCTCTCTCGCTATCACCTCATCAAGGTCTCGGTGGGGGTGGATTACAGCGCTAGTGTTTACTTAGGGCTTATCACAATCTCAGCTCTAGTACAAGTATAAATGGTGAAAGTCAAATGGGGGTTTCAATTTTAAACGACGAGTTTTCGTCATGATCTGAAAGAATACCCTTTCCAAATTGACACTTAGATACGATGTTTACACTGGTCAAGAAAACTCTAATAAACAACCCACACTGTATTCGGGAAGGACACTTCTAGGCATGAAATAGGGAGATATATCTTGTGGAATTCATACAAAAATATGAGGCTTATTTAGAATGATGAGCCTTTTCAGCAAGGAGTAGGATAAAATCAGTGAGTCACGGATACGGATACTCCATATTTTTTTACCAGACTTGAGAAGAAGATTTTCAAAATTCTCCAATCCTCTTGCTATTGGTTCTTGAGCCATAATCAATCTGACCCAAAATTCTATAATCTTTATCAATGCATATAACGTTGGTAATTGACAATCCCTTTACATTGTTTTACTTTCATTATTGATGCAATTCATTTACCATAAAGTATAATTTGAAAATGAATGGATATAATCAGGGCTGCAATGTTAACATATATGCTTCATGCAAATGCTCTACCGAGATAAAGTTAAAAACTAGCAACCAATAACGCCAGGGAAGATCGATAGGTCAATTCCAGTTTACAGGTTATCAACACTTTGCAAGAATTACCTCTTTAAACTGCCTCTATGCTGGGCAAGCAATCCAAATTCTCCCATAAACTTCTGCTATAATTACCCAAATGTACCTTCTAAATGACGTGATCCATCGACCAAGCTCCATGCCACATAATGGGGATGCCTCATCACAACACAGAAAAAGTTGTACTGTATGGTCCCATGGTGGACATGACTCGTCTCGAGTGCCAGGACAAGACAATGAGGTATCCAGCTCAATCTTGGATATATCTTTTTTATGAAGAAGATGAAAAAAAAGAAGAAATGTATTGAATTAAAAGTATATTTTAGTCTACATTTAACCTTTCTGCATCTGCTCCGACAAAGGAATTAATTCATAACATTTGTAAACCAATTCAATCTGTTTTCACTGAAACCACTGGCTAGTCTCAGAGGCCTTGTGCTTATTAAAGGCATTGGTATTTTAAGATGTGGAACTGGGCTAAATTTCTGGCGGAGAAACTCTGTCAACCTCTTCAAAGATTAAAAAACATAAATCCTAATTTTCTGATCAATGAGAAGAAAAATGATTATGTCCTTGTAAATCCTTATTATTCATGTCAAAGTGCAATTCATCCTGTTGTCATCTGATACTGAATAATGTCATAATTTTGTCACGCATAAATGACTTTGCAAGGTTTTAAAGAGTATTATAAAAGAAGTTTGCACATAGAAGAATAACATTTGTTAACGTAATTGCATTAAAAGTACATTGCCGAATAAGAAAAAGAGAGAATGCAAAGATAGGCCTAAGTGAAATTTATGCTGCACACATGTGGTATCATGTGGAATCAGATAAAAGGTGATTAAATAAATCTATTTTTTGCTGGAGAAAGTTGGGTTTCTTTTTTTCTTTAAAAACACCCTGTATTTATATGCAAGGCTTTAATATGGAATTTTTGTTACAATACTTTGTAAGAACTGTGTAAGATCTTTAACAATATGTATGTAGGAAGCTTCTATATTAAAACAAAGTTATACCCAGAGACTATATTTTCATAATGCAACAGACTGGGTGGTTAAGCGCTAACTTTTTGTTTTTAAATTATTCAATGGATTATCATTATCACAAGAACAAGGTTCTTTAAAGGTAGTTTCAGCCATTTGCAAGCTATCAACAATCAATAAGAAATTTTACTCTTTCAACAAATTTCAATGAAATTATTCATTTCTAACCCAAGAAGATAACATAGAAGTACCTTCTTTATTTTCTAATGAAATAACGTATTGAAATTGATTTAACAAATCTTTTGGAACACTAAAGTTTTGTTTCACTGAAATGAAAGAAGGAGGAGGTTCAGCACTATTCGAAGATAAAAACAAAACTATACAAGAGATGTGCTTTCATTTTTCAAATATGTCTTTGTTTACAAAATTACCATCAGCAATTTCTTTTTTGCTATTCTTATCAGACACACTCAGGTTCACTGCCCATGCCATCATAATCATCATCATCATTTATTAAAGTCAGCATTTTCCCTCTTGCGAGAGGTTACTGACTCTCACGCCGTGATGACACTCCCTTTATCCACTTCTTCTTGTTTCGAGATTCCTCCTCGTTAAGACCAACCTTACAGCTTTTTTTTCTCCACCATTTATTACAATAAAACCTTTGGTCTTCCTTTCCCTCGTTTGCCATCCACTTCCAGATCTCATGCTCTTTTCACTGGTCCATCATCTTCCCTTCTCAACACATGACCCATCCACTTCTCATTTCAACTTCCACCACAGTTTCTTGCAGACCCAATTATGAGCTCATTTGTGTTCTTTCTTTCTGTTGGACAGTTTCACACTACACATCTTCTGTATTATGGCTCTCACTGTCCTCTTTCTGTTGGACAGTTTCACACTACACATCTTCTGTATTATGGCTCTCACTGTCCTCTTTCTGTTGGACAGTTTCACACTACACATCTTCTGTATTATGGCTCTCTCTCACTGTCCTCCTTCACACTACACATCTTCTGTATTATGGCTCTCTCTCACGGTCCTCCTCACGTTACCTTCTTCTGTCTTCACATGTATTCAAATTATCGGTTCAAGTCCCACCGCGGCACTAATGTCCTTTGGCAAGACATTGATCTACATTTGCCACTCTCCACCCAGGTGTTAAATGGGTACCCGGTAGGATGCGAAAGCTAATGTGGTTAGATTAGCAAGTGTGCGCTCGTAAAAAAGACGCCTGGCTGGAATGCTCCCCAGGGAGTGGAGAATGTGCATACATTGTGTGCGGGTAAGCCTGAATCCTATGACCGGGGTAATAATATATATATATCTGTAAAGCGCTTTGAGAGGGCCTTCGGTCTTGAAAAGCGCTATATAAGAACTAGCTATTATTATTATTATTATTATCTGAGCCATAAACCATTGCTGTTCTAACACAAGCCTAGATGATGAACAAATGGCTGCTACTACATTAAAAGAGGCAATAAGATGAAATATGAACAGGTACCTTGTAATGATGGAAGATTAACAGTCTGAACGACACCAGTATGTCCTTGCATGATTGTATTGTTGATCACAGATATGACAGCTACTTCTTGTGACAGGTTCTTTAGGAGCTCAGTCTTATAGTCAAACCTAAAATAGGGATACATCACATGTTTACATGCACATAAATACATGACATGTATTAGCAATATGAGAAAAGAATATTGTAAAAAGGACAGTTTTCCTTCACTAGAAATGTGATAAGAATAAAAAAAAAAACAAAACAAAAAACAAAAAAAAAAACACACCTATATAGACATTTAACTACTCAAAAGGAAAAAAAAGGTTGGGAGTTTTAGGTCCAATCACATGCACTTTGTATAATTAGGAGTAAACTAGATGGAACTTCAACTGCGCGCAGTCGAAATGATGCCTCCGTCATAGAGCAATTTAACAAACCAAAACAGAAGAAATTTGTCAAATTCAAGTTCAATTGTAATCCATTATTAATAGGGTTATAGGGCAATTTTACAAACCAAAACAGAAGAAATTTGTCAAGTTCGATTTAATCCATTAACAGGTTCTCAGAATATCGTGATTACAAGCAATTTCTCATATACATATATGACCCTTTGATCTTTGACCTCATGACCCTAAAATCTACTCAATTCATTGGCTCTGCAAGATGTCCCGAGTTAAATAGTAATCCCTCTGTCAGTTCTAACGAGAATGCGTTCAAAAGCTATTTTTGCATACATTATGAGCCCATGACCTTTGACCTATGACCTCATGACCCAAGAATCTACTCAGTTCATTGGCTCTGCAAGATACATACATAAACTAAGTTTGGCAGGAATCCATCAATCTGTTCTAATGATAATGCGATCACAAGCTATTTTTGAATACATAATAAGCCGCATGACCTTTGACCTTGACCTGATGACCCCAAAATCTACTCAGTTCATCGGCTCTGCAAGTAACAAACATGACCTAAGTTTGGCAGGAATCCATCAATCGGTTCTTCAGATAACGCGATCATAAGCTGTTTTTGCATACATAATGAGCCCTGTGACCTTTGACCTCGGGACCCCAAATCTAATCAGTTCATCGGCTCTGTAAGATACATACATGACCAAAGTTTGGCAGGAATCCATCAATTGGTTCTTCAGATAACGCAATCACGAGAACGGACGTACGGACGGACAACCCGAATACATAATGCCTCCGGCTACTTCGTAACGGAGGCATAAAAAAGGAATGACCCATCTAGTATGATACCTACACAGGTCTTTACTATATATGAAGAATATTTCATTCATTATCGCTCCAAGATTTCATATTATTCTACAAAATAAAACATCACAGACTACTTACTGTACATTTGAAATTGCTAGCTACCACCAAAAGAGGATGCAAAAGCACAAAATTATGTTTGGGTTGCTTGAGCAGTCATCGGTGTAAACTTGACATGTACTGCATCAACATAGACACAAATCAGAAACTCACCACTGAGCTTGCCAAACAAAGAACTGGAAAGATGGATAGAGTAACCAACCCATTTCAGCAAGCTGACCCTGCCTATCAATGGCAAAGTAGAAGTTCTCACTAGGGGTTGTCTGAAAACTCACATTCATTGAGTCCACTTGCACACTGTAAAATGAAAACATGAATCCTTGGTAAGAATATTTCACTCATAATCCCTGGTCACCAATGAATTCTTGGTTAAAGTATATCAAAAATGAATCCCTTATTTATCATCAATGAACTCCTGGTAGACGAAATCATCAATAAATCCTTGGTTAAAGTGTATCACAAATGAATCCATCTTTGAAGACTACATACATCTATCCCCAACCAGGTGTATTGTATCTTTTAAAATCACCAATATATTGTTCATGTCATCCCTTTATACATATGAAATATGCTTATGTGTTTTGAATTAATTGTAGGTTGATTAGTATATATTAATTATAGTTCGTAAATATGATATTGAATGTATTATTATCTAAGTATTGCCAACTTTGTAAAGTGCTTAGAAACATTGTAATAAGCACTATAGAAATATAATGTATTATTATTATTATTAATATCATTCCTTCGTTTAGTTACATGTAGATGTCCCCTTTCATTGAAATACTCTGTATTGTGTAAACTTTGTCTTTCCTTAATTGGTAATGTATTCATATTGCTATTGACTGTTAAGCCTGAGATAAGTGGCGTTATATTCCACATACTAAGAATCTTGCTCTACGATTGGTCAAAATTAAATCATGTGATGAAAGATAGTTCGCCCATCATTGATGGGAGAAGAAAAGTTTGTTGCACTGTGTAGATAGTAGTACTATCTACACATTGCAACGCACTTTAATTGTATATGTTGTGTATTGCTCTCCTTTTTAAGCTCTGGTAGTGTTAGTACGCGAACTTTGGTCACGCGCAAACTATTATGGTCACATTACCACACTGCATGCACTGTACATATCGTACATGGTTTGCTAGCTGTTAATTGATGACTTGTTGCTCTAAAATGACGGAAGAAGTGAAATGTTTCTGATGTGGAATATAAAGCAAATAATCACCTTTTGGTTTCAGGCGATGGCAAACGATCACTTCCTCGGCGATCTGAATGTATACGCTATCTTTCCTCAGCCTCGGAAGTGATAGTTTGTCCCATCACCTTCACCAACGGTAGTTATTTGCTTAAAATACAGTACATGCATCTAATTAGGAAAAAATGAGTGGAATAAAAAGAAATATTTCCAATTGACAGAAGACTGAAATACCTCTGAAGAAGCTCTTGGCAGTATGGAATCATTGTAGCAGGAATATTAAGAGGATTATCACACTCAATACCCTCACAGTTCATATCTTGTACAGGATTGCCTGGCTTACTGTAAACTATTACACCAACAGCAGAAGAGGCTTCCATTTTCCTAACCTAAAAACAAAGTATATTATAAAGACAAATTAAACATTAAAATGATATGACACTTTATTGTTGTTGTTGTATTGGCTTATTGAGATAAAAACCATCGAACATGCATCTGAAAGCTGAAATTGTTCAATTTACAGAGTAAAAAGTACAGTACATAGCATAAAATTACCTTTGGTACATCAAGTGTGGATCTATTTTAAACAAAGTTTATCTGTCTACTTTGTTTAAATAAATGAGCTTCCGAACTGTATGAAGCTATTTTCAATAAGTAAAAATGTCTAAAAGCGAATGATTTTATTTGACCCGATTTATAAACAGATCACCGTCTATACATATAATACAACACTAGAAATATACATTAGGGTTTTATTGAAAAATTCCACATTTATTACCAGGATTTTAATTCACATGGTGAAGAAAGAAGGTAGTAAGGTTGGTCTAAAAGCGAGGAGAATGCTCGACACAAGAAGAAGTGGAGGGGGAGTGTCATCCAGACCTGCCAACCTCTGGAGTGCAAAAACTGTATTCTTAAAATAAACACAGACTGTTACACAGATCAATGCCTCTAACAGTTCCTACATACAGGAAGTTTTTTTTTAAATGGATCATTGGTTGAAAATGCATGATTTCGTCACGACTGGTGTGTTTGATGAACCAATTAACATCCCCAAATTGCTGATGTGAGATGCTTGTAGGATACTTTACAGGACAGAATGGGCATTTTGCCATTGGAAATGGCACACACACAAATAGTATTTTAGTAAGGAAAATAGTAAGTGTCGTATTTGCTTCTAAAAATCGTACTGGTTGACAGGTCTGTGTCATCATGTTCCAAATTTCAGTAACCCATCACAAGAGTGAAAATACTGACTTTAATAAATGGTGATGGTGATGATTATATATATTCTTATTTTCTCCTGTGTTTTGTTACATGTATGTAACTATTATGAGTTTATAATTATATTAATGATTATTATTGCATTTTGTTGTTACCCAACAAGGCGTAATGGAAGACCACTACCAGTGAAAATGTGCTACCCTGTATAAATGTCAGATATATACATAAATAAGGTAACTTGGAATTTCAAAGATTGAATTCAGTTGCTTATCCTGAAAGGTACGTTCCTTTGCTTAAAATTGGATAAAAACACATCAATTAAGAGCCCAGGCATTGCAGAAATATGTAGCTAGCTAGCTGCAGGTCTTTGGAATTACATCACCATTTACTGTTAAGGATTTTGCTCTTTTTTCAGGGTTTGCTGTTCTGGCAGTGGTCTTGAAACCCATCTTAAGAATATTAAAGATATTTAAAGTTAAAACACAGTCCTTAGTATTCTCAAAGGAGTAAGCTTTTAACATATGTATAATTTGTTGGCATTTGTGATTTTACAAGATATTTCTTGTTCTGTGTACATGACTTTAAGTCACCTTTGACATTTTGAATTTAAATAAATATTTCTCTTAAAAAACAAAAACAAAATCAAGACCATTAAAAAAGGTTGTTCTCAAAATTAATGCAGAAAATAACAGAGTATAACTTTATTCGCTCACAATCATTATCAATATTTATTTGCTTGCTCATTTTTCCACGTCTCCCAGGAACCTATTCTTTACAATTAAGCTATGCTTTTCTATAGGTTGCTGCACATTTCACACTTTTGTACTTTTATTGTCTGGGTTTCCTTTAACATATTAGTTGTCAAACATATTTGGCGATATATAATTTTGTAGTCTGATGAATTACTTTAACCATTTTTAAGAAATGAGACAATTATGTCCTTTATGTACATATTTTGTTATCTGTATTGAATCTGCATGTGAAATGTAAAACCAATCAACTCAATCAACTCAACTAATGGCAAATTCGACACACAATCAGCAAATCAAAACTTGTACACACACACAATGCTGTGGAACTTGATTTGCCCCCCCCCCCAAAAAAAAAAAGAAGAAAAAGAAGAGAGAAATTAAAGCTAATACTTGTTCAAAGCATAATTTCATACATATTGTTTGCAGAAATGTCATTACACTTATCCCCTAGAATGAAGCAGTTTAACTCTAGATTTCAGTAGAAGTTGTAGCTTATCATAAATTGTCATGTTTTTTGTTATTGCCCTGTACTTATACAAACATTATAAGATGATGACGTAGATCCTAATCAAATGATTGGTTGAAAGCGTACACGTGACCAGGCATTTATTTTGCCTAACGCGTAATTTGGGTAATGACCGGTCATTACCCAGTGGTAATGACTAGTCATTACCACATCTAGCTAAAATTAGCGCAAAATAAGCGCGACACAAGTCAGAGGTCTAATATTAGACGCGCGCAAGGCAAGGTACGCCTCAATTTGCGCTTATTTTAAACAATGGGTTATGTAAATGAGAATTTAAACCATGGGTTAGATTTAAACCTCCTTTGTGAATTCGGACCTTTGAGTTTGAGATGAGGGCGATTGATCAAATAACAAGGATCCACGTTATAATTTTATAAAACAAATAATACACATCATTTTGTTCGAGCATTAGTATAATTACCAACACTCGGTACCTTTAAAAAAGTCTAACACGCCGTCGGCTATCGCCTCGGGCGTGTTAGAATTTTCCAAAGGTACCTTGTGTGGGTAATTCTTACTAATGCCCTCACTGCTGTGTATTATTTGTATACTATTACCTTGTCTGAGAAGCTACAGTCACCAGCTATAACAAGAGCAATATGACCTGCGACATCTTCCCTGGCTGAGCATCCATTTCCAGCAAGGATTACAGATTGTGGTGAAGAGAAAACTTGGGCAGGTGATGGCAGCCAGTCATATCGAGCATCCAATCTTTTAAGAATTAATTCAGAGGAGGCACCTGCATTTAAAATATAAGTTATATGTTATTTCAGAATAATCTATGTGTGATTCATCATGACATCACCATGTATCTTCTATTGTACCTACACCTGTGCATGTATCTTCAACAAACAAGTTCCATGATTCTGGACATTACTAGAAAGTGGAAAAATATTGCTGTAGTAGTTTTAATAGGTCAAGAACATTTCTGATGGAGCTGATTTTGTGAAGTGCAAAGGCGGTCTTACAGATTAAATTAGCTTTAGATTCACAGGTCAGACTCACAGTGGCGACGATCTCCGACCTGATCGGAGGAAGGATATAAGAGAGATTACTCAAATAAAATGTCTATCAAAAAATTACACCAAGGTTCCTTGCAAAAGAAAACAATTGATTATCAAAAAAGCTTAAGGTCTAAACTTAACATCAATAAGATTTGAATTCATACTCTTCATTTGAAAAAAAAAAAAAATGTTATTTAGAATACTTCAATTTTTCACAGACAGAAGCCTTTCTTTGGATTAAGTTTCATTACTTCAACATCTAATTGGGTAAATTTTCGACTGTAGACATCACACAGTATTCAAGAATTAAAACAAAAACTACAGGTAGCTACCTTATACCTATTTAACACATTCACAATGAATAGTGTCCTTTTCAACTAAAAGCTGAGCATGAGACCTTCTGTGAGTAGGCATAAATCCAGTACTTACCTGTGATCGACTTGAAGACTGCTTGTGTAAAGCCACATCCATGGTCTTGACAAGCCCATTTCATTAGTAAAGCAGGAAGCCAATTACCTAGCTGATATGTAGGTTGAATTACAAAGTGAAGTCTGGTCTGTAGACTAACTCCTGCTTCTTCACTGTAAACAAATATTATTATTCATTAGATTAATGGCATCGTTTAACAATTTTTCCAGTTTTACAAATCTGAGATGCATGGCCCTATGTGTTATCAGTGTTTGTGATATGGTGTATTATTAACCGTATCAGACGTCTGAGCAGGGCAATTTTTAAACGTTATTGCCCTCAAGGTTTGATGGATAAGCCAACAAAACTACAATATTATTGACCGCTCAGAAAAGTCAATGGGATTTTGTGTGTAATTTGCCTGTCAATACGGTTATACAGTAAACCAATGAACAAATATTTTAGCCCGATCTGAAAAGTCAATGGCAAAATGCGTGTTAAAGGTAAAGACCAGTATTGGAAACGCCCCAATTTCAAAAAATGAAATGGAAGCTCTTATTACCAATCATGTGAAAGAATATGTTTAGAATATACATGATGATAACATTTTTGACGGGAAACTGCCTACTAATTGATATATTTGGTAAATCTCTTGCCTGTTGAGAGATATGAAATGCACGTGTCGCCAGGGTTGGCATATTTCCCGCTTCGGAGGCTTATTTCCCGGACGCTGGGAAATAAGCGGTATTTACCGGTATTTACCGCTTTTTACCGGGAAATACTGGGAAATATATTTTTCCACTCACTTGTTCATAGGGATTGTCCAATTTTGAACATGATAACAATGGTGGTGAGTATAGTTGCTCTTGTGTGTACTATTTGTGTGTGTGTTTGTGTGTTTGTCTATGTCTGTAATTATGTAATGCTGGAAAAAAATACAGGAAAAAGATACCAAATATACACCTAATCTAGATATGATGTTCTTCATTAAAGAGAAAGTTGAGTTCTGGGAAGAGGTGAAAAATAATTTGTGAGCGTTATCATTCTTATTATGCAAGTGTGGAAGAACATCAGATAAGACATGTTCCCTGATGAAGAGCATGGCTCTTCAAATGCCTTCATATTTTAAATATGTCATGTAACATCGTAAAACTCGGGGGTAGGATTTTTACGCCACGTATTCGTGTAGCCCCATATACATCTTTCTGTGTACAGTGTTTGTAACTATACCAAGACTTGGCCAAATTTCTTATCATTTTGATGATTCCAAAACCTTGCAATACACACAAATATGCTAGATGATCAACCTTTTCTGGTCGATTCCACACCGTTTCTTTCACAATGCAATCGCATGACCAGAACTTCATCTTTAAAGGGAACCAAAACCTTCATACTAAGTTTCTTTTATTGTAAAGTTTAGGATATTTGAATGAAATCAGTGAAAAATTGAACAAAATTGGGGAAGGAATAAGGAAGTTAAAGCTTTTTAAAATGACTAGTCACTAGAGGGCGATATTCAATTTGATGACATCATTTGTGGACAACTCTCCATGCCTTTTGTACATCAAATTTCACAATTCTTTCATTTTTTCCTATTTATTTGTGTTCTTAATTGGATTTCATAACATGTGAAGTAGAATATCATTTTGCATTCTATTATCTCAATCACAAGAAAGAAGGAAAAACATGAAATTTGATGTACAAAAGGCATGGAGAGTTGTCCACAAATGATGTCATCAAATTGAATATCGCCCTCTAGTGACTAGTCATTTCAAAAAGCTTTAACTTCCTTATTCCTTGCCCGAATTTTGTTCAAATTTTCACTGATTTTATTCAAATATCTTAAACTGTACAATAAAAGTAACTTGTATGAAGGATTTGTTTCCCAGTTGCTCATTACCATATTCATGAATACCTATTAATTAGCATATGAACAAAATACCATTTGTTTGGGTGTGTACATGTATGCAGTGAGGATTTTAAAAATCTGTTTGTGTGTTCCTACTATGAGTATTGTGCTGCTAATTATTTCAGAACAATATTTTCAGTTATGAGGCTAAAAACAAGTAAAATTATAAATAAATAGAAAATTAAAATCATATTTCCCGGTTTTTACATATTTACCGGACACGCATCTTATTTACCAGACGGTATTTACCGGTATTTACCGGTATTTACCGCCACCGGTATTTACCGCCCAACCCTGCATGTCGCGCATGTGTGTGTGTAGTCCCATATACATCTTTCTGTGTACAGTGCTTCTAACTTTATAAAGACTTGGCCAAATTTCTTATCATTTTGATGATTCCAGAACCTTGCAGTACATCTATGCTAGATGATCAACCTTTTCTGATCGATTTCACAACGTTTCTTTCACAATGCAATCGCATGACCATAACTGGTCTTTAGCTTTAAACTAGTGAGCAATAATATAGAGCCAGTTGTAATTTACATCGCGCATCAGCTACTGTAATTTACATAGCGTATAAGAAAATGCGCACTTTGCACGAACTCTATTGTGACGTAACAATCACACCCTAGACACAGTGTATCATATTGTCAAACACTGGATGCACAGTGCTGGTTTGACGATGTTTTTGCAACTTCTAATGTTAGGAAACCCTGTGCAGTGTAGGCTACATAATTTAAGAGTATAAGATAGTATGAGTTTCTTGTTTGCTCTAGATGTCTGATGTGGTTAATAATAGTAATATTGACTGCCTAATTCAGGGCAATACGACTTGTCGTATATCACCCTCACCTTCGGTTTGGGTGATATATGTCGTATTGCCCAGGAGGCAGTCAATATTACTTAAATATTGAAGCCCCCCCCCCAAAAAAAAAAAAAAAAATGTGCTTCAAAAAAGTAAAAATATTTAAAAGAGTGACCAGTTTTACCATACTCGTTTCCCCAACAGACTGTAGTGTTATAAAAACCTTTAGGAAAACGTTTTTTAAAATATTTCGAATTCCTATCATTAAATATCTTGATAATCTGACAGGCAATCGGCTTGTAAAAGTTATGGGATTCCTGACTGACGTAAAGGTTTATAATTATGATTGCAGCATGAGCTAAATCCAGGATTTTGTTTAGAATCTGAAGCAAAGATACCCAATCCCTGTGAAGTTTGTCTGAACAAACCTAAATGGACAATGAAGCTTGGAGCATTGGAACACATTGAATAACGGGCAATGTAAAAAAATGGACATGAACTCCAAAACATTGAAGTCACTACCTTAAATAGCACCATTTTCTCTCATCTGAACAATTTTAACCATTCCCTTTAAAGGTAATCATAAAAATTAACATAGTAGTACCAATGAACAAGATCGTAATATTGATAAATGCTATCATTTGATCAAAGTAAATTTCAAAAACTAAATGCCATTAATTTGAAGAATTTCCTTACTTGATGGAAAAAGTAAAACAAAATGATAGCACTAATTTCTGTTTTCAATCCAATGCTTCCACAACATCACTAAATTTCCTTTAACTAATTTGTCACCTTCATAAATATTCTAAAAAAGAATGAAACACAGATAATACCAAACAACAACAACATAAATACAAGATCAACGACATCTCAACTTGTCTGCTCATTGTTTTACAAAACCGTCATTGCCCAGACGAGCAACAACCGGACCCATCACAGTTGAGCTTTTCACATGTGATTCAATCGTAAATTAAAAAGTAGAGAAGATGGGCTTGTGCTCTCTGATTACCTAATTAATAATTTGTATTACCTGATGGTTGGTAATACTTTATCTGTAGTATAAAGAAATTAGAGGCATGATGGATCACTTGGATCATTAGAAACAGAGCAAATATCAACAAAGCATGTGAAGTACCATGCTGAAGACCTGAAGTACTGACCCTTCACATAATTTACCTTAGTTCACCTTCTGAAGTCATTGTCTCTAAGCTACTTGTTAATTGATTCTGCATCCATACTGCATCCTGCTTAGCATGGTAACTGGAAGACATAAATATGTAATGGACACTGTCAGGGCTGCCTGATATAGACTTAAGGGAAACCTCTGAAGTCCACAGACATTGAAGAAAAGCAGATCTATTGTCAAATACTTGGAAGATGATGGACTTGTTTAACAGATCTATACTGGGAAATTTAAGAGTTCCATTAAGTGTATCAACAGTGAAAGGCTTTGCGTTTTGCCCTGGAACAAACTCCTCACTGGCAGTAGCAGTTTGATCACCATCCATCTTCATGCCATCATTAAAAGTTGTTTGCCCTCCAGCACCAACTCCATCATGTTGACCACGCCCATCCTGTCTCCTAATTTCATCTGCATCATGATATTGGTTGTTCCACTTCCACATCTTGGCAGAACGCTCATTATTGAGATTTGCAGTACCGACTTGAATCTTTCTGTTTAGAGTTTGCCATTGCCAGTGGGCGTGATCGTGACGAGTGTCATGTTTGTGAGGAGCATGAGCATCGGCATTATTGGAAATGCCCTTGCCAATGGCATTGCCTGTGCCATTGCCGTGAGTACTAATGCTCGGACTCGGAGTCCGAGTCTGAGGCTGACTTTTTCTGAAAATGAAATGTGCGATGTCTCCTTGTTTAGTGTGTCCTCTCTGAAACTGTCTCTTCAGGTTCTGGTTACTACTCGATTTGCACGCGGAAGCTAAGATCAACAAAATGATACAAATTACCCTCGCCATATTTTGCGAAAAATAAGTCACAGCTCCAGGCATTCGTAGCGACAAGCAGCATGCAGTCAGGTGATCTGTACTGTATGAACAGGTCACGTGACGTGAGTGCATCACCGAACAGAAATCGCGAAAATGGCGTCTGCTGCTGCTCTTGATGAAGACTATGAGAGATCACTGGTTGATGAACTGAGAGATGTTGTTGTGAAATGTAGATGGCAATGTTTGGGACATAAACAAGAATTCCAGGAAAAGACCTGTACCAGGTAACTCATGGGTCGTGTGACATATGTATGGGTAGACGGGAGACGGGGAGAGAAAGAGAGTTACTAGATTTTCGTACGCGCCTACTCATGCAAATTTATGACATACATGTAGCTGAATACTATTATACTACTATTATCCTGGCTCAGTGGCTGTGTAGTAAAAGCTGTACTATTGACAGAGCGGCGTGGCGCTTGTTCAGAAACCTATCCAAAAGTTGACCCGTAACTCCGGCGTGGAGATACCCTAGCTACTAAACATACCTAAAATCAATGCTCAAAATACATGGGGGCGATGGGCGATTTGCCCCCGTGAGCTCCATAATTGCCCCCATCAGGTTGCTAACGGGAACGATTGCAAAATTATAAATCGCCCCCAAAAACCAATGAAATAGAACTTAGATGGCGCTTTCTCTCCAATCTTATACAAACAACGGAAGCTAGCTCGCAGTGCAGCTTGTGCGGCCGTGAGCAGTGGTTATACTGCTCCGGTAGTAGTACCGGTGTGCACGCTGACGCTCAATATCTGCTGTAGCTGGAGACGATCGCGCAAGGACTGATGGAGAAGTTTTTCGTTGTGAAAAGTGTGAATCCTCTGAAGTCTGGTGATTCTAAAAGACCAGCAAATAATGTAACTCGACCAGTAAATCAATATTGAGAAGAAGAAGAAGACCAAAGATGTTGCAGGGGCGGATCTACACAGTATTAATAGATGTCAGTAGATCACTAACGGGGGTTAAAAAAAAGCACCAAAACAAAAAAAAACGCCTCGCTGCTTTGCGGCTCGTGGACGATGCAAAAAGTTAGATCCGCCACTGTGTTTTGAAAGGATATGGTAAAGACCAAAAGTGAAGAAAGAATGTAAATAAGGTTGCTCCGAATAATGAGGAGGAAATTATATGCAGAACGAGAAGAAATGGAAAGAATGTCATCATGGGGATAAAAGTCAATAACAGCTATATAAATATATATGTAACAAGAAAATTTCTAAGAGGGAAAATGCTGATCAACTAAATAAATAATAATTATAAAATACCAAGGAGTTTCATGGGTACCAATTCAATGGAAATTTTTATTAAAATAAGAGCCCCCGTCAGCGCTAAAAGAGGCCCCGTGAGCCTTCTCACGGGGGCTCTTTTTATTTTGGAAGAGCCCCCGTGGACAAAAATTAATTTGAGCCCTGCCTAAAATGAAGTAAATATTCATTAAATGTCCAAATAAAGATCATGAGTTAAAAGTCGTTATGTTTATTTCCTGTTTCGTGTCAATTTTCTTGTTATTTTTTGGGAAAAACATTGACATTTATTAGTATACACTTTTTCACAGATTTCACAGCAAACCGCTGCACAATACAATCTGAGACATTACGGTAACTCCAGGAAGCTCCGACACCGACATGTCTGCGTCGGAGCTTCCTGGAGTTAACATCACGGTAGATAACTTCACAACGGCATGTTAGGCATATAATGCTTTTAAAAGTAAATCAGAATAAAAATTTAACTGTGTCACATCACATCACGACACCAGGCATACATGTAAAAAGACATTTGCATTGCCAATTGGATACTTTACGGCAATAGCGATAACTTTAGTGTATGAGCTTTGTTTGTTTCCATTGTCGAGATGTGTTGATGCTCTGTCCAGTTTCTATTCAGACGTAAGAGTATATGGTAAAGACCTTTATCAATCTTTGTATTTCAGCTTGTAATTTTATGATTTAGAAATCCTTTAAAATGTTCATTGTTTTCATTATGTATCTGCATTAGGATATTCTCGATAGATGGGGAAGATGTTGTTTTGGTGTATCTTCCTCCGGATCGCTTCTATGCAATGGATGTAACCTGTCCCCATGCAGGTAGTCTAACAATCAAATTCATACTTTTTAACATCTATTGGTATACATGTGCATGTTTATAGAGCATTAGTCCCATTTAGTTATGAGAACAATGATGTACAGTTAACTTTATGAAAGCCAAAGTTTCATGTGCCAAATAATTGCTTAAGTCAATTAATCGCTTAAGTCAATGAGGAGGCACAATAGCTCAGTGAGGAAGCGCGATAGCTCAGTCGGTAAAACAGCTGATCTCATATTACAGCAACCCGGGATCAAAATCAAGATGATTCACTAGTGCCATTTGGTAAGACATTTAATCCTCATAACCAGGTCCCTCGGAGAGGACCTAAAGGGTCAGTCCTCTGGTTGCTTGCCCACATTTCTTAGCAGTTATGTAAAATAACCACCACCACCACAAGATAATGAAAATTTCCAATTTATTTTCATAGACTAACACATTCAAGTCCTTTTTTTTGTAAGTTTAATTATCACCTAAGTCAATCAAATTTGAAGAACAGTTTCAAAGACAAAACATTAAATTCACATTGCCCAAGTCGCACTACAAATGAAATTTATTTACACAACTGTTATTATTCACAATTGCATGTAGGTGGACCACTAGATATGGGAGATATTGAAGAGATTGGAGGCCATACTTGCCTTGTATGCCCATGGCATGACTATAACTTCAGATTGGACAATGGTGAATCTACCTCTGGACTTCAGGTGAATTCAGTCTTTATCAAATCTTATTTGTTCAAAAATTGAATTTAGCATGAAACATCATTCTGTTCTTGTGAATGCTCTCTTTTTGTGCATTTAATGCATGTAGCCAAGTCATTTAGTTTATTAGTTTACTGAATCTTGTGTATATAAATTTAGTTACCATTAGTATATTGGTAATTGAAATTACTTTACTCTGTGTTAAATAAATTAATTTTACACTGTTTGTTTGCTCTATTCAGTAAATTGTGTTTTGATTCCATTTTAGTTTGCTGCTCAGTATTGTATTCAGGGACGTACGCAGCGGGGGGGGGGGGGGGGGGGGGGGGGGGGGGGGGGGGGGGGGGGGGGGGGGGGGGGGGGGGGGGGGGGGGGGGGGGGGGGGGGGGGGGGGGGGGGGGGGGTGGGGTAAACCCCCCTAAAAAAATAAAACCCCCCCCCCCCCCTTTTGTTTTTTTTGTTTTTTTTTTTTTTGTTTGTTTTTTTTTTAAAAAAAAAAAAAAAAAAAAAAATTAAAGTGACCTTACCCCCCCCCCCCCCCCCCCCAACTAACAAAATGTCAAATTTTCAATTTCGAGACCAAAAAAAAAAAAAAAAGTCCCCCCCCCCCCCCCCCCCCCCCCCCCCCCCCCCCCCCCCACTGAGCGACTTTTCGGCCGGCGCGATTTTCAAAAATTTTAGATTTAAAAACCCCCCCCCCCCCCTTGAAAAAATCCTGCGTACGCCCCTGATTGTATTGAACAACAAAAAGTAAACCCAAGACAAGATTATATAGGGCAGAATATATTTTGCATATATGTAGTTACTTGATGTGGTAACCTCTATTTATTTTCCTTTTGTTCAGGCTTTTTTGTAATACTTTGTGACAAACACTGAGCTCTCGTTTTTAATTCCTTTTAGCAAGCTGTACATGCAGTAATAGTAGTGGATGAACTAGTTTACATAAATTGCAGAGCAGAGCTGATAACTTCAGCAGAAACCAGCAATTCTTTAAAGGATTCCCAACCTCCAGCCACAGACATTGGTAGTTCTATAAAGGATTCCCAACCTCCAGCCATGCAAGGTTTGTACATTCAAAGGAGACAGTACTAGAAAATGGTTGGGGTGTTAGTTTACATAAAATTTCATTTCTATTGTTAAGAGAAGTAGGGCCTGGAATTGATTTCTGACTTACAGCTATGTGATCCAATGTTTGTATAGTGAATTCAATTCAATTAAATTCAAATGAGGTTTTATTCAAGACTTGTCAAAAAGTCCAAAGACTAAAAATGCAAGTTTACATCAAACATACACTCATATAAAAAAGTACACAACATATTTGAGAGGACACTTCTAGAGTGATATTCAACCTTCAAAATCAAGACTTTAGGATTTGGCATTTTTAGAATTATCATTCCATCGTTTATGGTATTTGTTTGATTTACTACCCATATATACTATGTGCTCAGAGGCTCTACTGGTAGTTAATACTCTGCTGTTTTATGAAGCAGGAATTACAATTAAGTCTCTAAGCGCTTCCAAACTTGAACATTTTTTTATACTAATACCTCAATAAGAGTGCATGGTATATTTGACTCGTATCCCTTATTAAAAATTGAAACTAAAAATATAAAGAAATATAAATGGAAATAAATATCACCTCACCATCTTCCATATTCTCACGATCAGTTTATTCTGTAAAATCCTCCAAAATCATACCATATTGATAGCTTATAAAACTGTGAAGTCAATCATGGTATGTTGAGGACATGCTCTGATTGATGTCACACTATACCATGTTTTACATTGGACTACGTCACATGAGCCAACCCTGACCGATCCCTGCCAAGAATGGTTTGATGTCGGATATAGTAACTGTGTTTTTTATTAGACGACTCATGGATGAAAGTTTGTATTGATTCAGGATGTATATCATTATTACATCCCTCACTTCTAGATGATGAGGCTGTTCAAGTAGGAGAAACACATTTTGACGGCGCTAGTTTGTGTGAGGTTGCAGTGAGGATTCTAAACGAATCTAGCGCTAAAGAAAAGGTGAGTGATTACTGTCACATACAAGACCTACATTAAGTCATTCCATTTAAATGTTGTTTTAGGGAACTTTGGAGAGTTAACTAAATTTGTTTTGACCCTCAAGAAGAGTGTTCTGAGATGATTTCATTTTACATGTACATGCATGTAAATTATAGTTTTAGCCAAATGATAAGTTTTTTTTTAATTTCCCAGGCTAATGTGGGGAAGGTGATTTGATTAATGGGACCAATGAAGTGAATCAACTTTTTAAAAGCACATGAGCTGATGGTTGTATATACAGTCAGAGCCAGTAAAATTACTGGAAGGCTACAGGCAACAACAAAAATGTTTGATGCAAGAGGTGTCAAGATGTGGTCTTACAGACCACCACCACTGGGACCAAGACATGCCTGTAGCTCCATGACAAGCATGTTTAATATTTGAGAGTTTCTGCTATCCTGGCAAGCTATTAGCTGCTCAGGGAGGAGAAACAGCAGCAGTGACAGTAAGGCTCCAAAGTGAAAGGAAAAGTGTATAATACTTGTGTACACAACTGCATAATGTACAACATTGAGACCTGGGTAATGAAATCATCCAGTACTGCAGCATGTTGAACAGGCAGCAGTGAAGTTGTTTTGGAGGAATGTGCAAGACCCCTCTACATGATCGAAAGAAGAACAACAAATTTCACTCTATAGGATTGATAAATGTCTCACAGGAGATATGGATGGGTGGATTGAGATGATTTGGTCATGTGGTTAAAGGAAAAAAAGTAATTCGCTTCAGAAAGCAATTAATACCAGGCCGCCAGCTCAGAACCTATGGCAGACATTACAAAACCTGGCTGGAGACACCAGAAGAAGATCTGAGAGCATCTGGGCTCACCCAGATGGATGCTGAAGACCGGAAGGCCTGGAGAAGGACCATTAGGGAATTGAAACGTCCAACCAAATAGAGTGGGAAAAAAACAGGAAGCTTAACTGTAATGATGATGATGGTTATGATTCCACATAAACTTTTCACCTTTTGTCAGTTTGAATTTTATTGTCTTCTTTTTTTAATATATTTTTTATAGAAAATATTTATTTATTTTATTTATTATTTATTTATTATTGTTTCAGCACTTTCAAGAAATATAACCTTGAAACAATATCATCATGGTGATTAAAAAATTAGAATGACAAAATTTATACAAATACAATTTTTTTGTAGTAATATTCTGAGTGCAAAACTTAATCACTGTAACCGTAATGGTCCCTCTGCCCAACCAACTGATGCACTCTAGCATGTGTGGGGGCAACAGTGATGAACTTTACTTTTGTGCACGACTAACCACTCGCTGCTCCCTTATCTCCAGCATGTGATTGCTCATTCTTATTTTGTACTTGCCTCTTGCCATGCTGTATTGTAGTTATCCTTTAAATAAGGAATAAATAATAATAATAATAATAACTCAGAAGACTAGTAAAACTATAGCATAAGGACAAATAAAGAGAGTAACAAATCAAGGATAAACAATGAGAAAATAAAGAAAGGAGAGGCACAAGCAAATGTAATGCCAAAATAGCAATTAAATGCACATTATATATAACATATTAGAAAATATTACAATAGCTGTTCAAATGAAGGGTCGAAGCAATGTCAAAAATCAGTATGAGAGTACATTACTGGTCTTGGTCCGTATGGTAAGTTAGAATGAGCCACTGACTTATTAGACAACCATTGGCATAGTTCATTTATTTTTTAATCCTATAAAACCAACTGCTCTGGACAAGGCAGTTGTACTGATGAGAAAAAAAATAGGCTAATGCAGCTGTCTTTGTTTTTTTTCTTTTTTGTTAAATTCAGGTCATTTTCACAAGAGAGACACACCAGAGATGGAAAGGAGGAGACATAATAGACATTGGATCCTGTAAACCACCCCCAATGCCATGTAGGGATAAGTCGCTTAATATTCTTCAGCCAGGCAAGATCAAAAGAGGCAAAGGGGGCACTTTGGTAGGTGCTAATTTAAAGGCAAATTCACTTCAATTCAAATCCTCCATACTGAGGATTTAACTGATCATGCAAAAATTACAATCAAATGAGAGAACCCCTAATTAGCTCCAAATAAGGCTATGTCAGTCTAGTTGCACACTGTTCCTGTGTGTACATTAAACTACTGAATCATAATATAATCGAGCCAAAATACAGGAAGTGCTTCGGCCATTTACTTTGGAACTAGTCAAACGGTTTATAAAAAATTTATCCTTACTATTATTATTATTATTATTATTATAATTATTTATGGTTCTCCATATTTCAGATTTTTGATATCTCTTCTTAGATATTCCAATTAAATCAAGGCCCTTGGGAGATTAGCGGTATGAAGATGTATCTGACAGTATTGCCTTCTCAAAACATTTGGCCAGAATGATATCAAAATGGCACAAGTTTTAAGATCCCACTTGTATACTAGCTAGGGTATTCACCTTTTCCATGTTAATCTGGAATCTTGGATGTCCTCTTAATAGACTATTTGGGTAATTAATGCATTGAAATATTTGTTCTTTCTCTTTATCATATTGGCAAAGATGTTTGTTTTAGCAGTTTCAACAATTTTTAAAGCAATTTTGTTATTAATCAGTGTTTTGAACTGATTAGTAGTGTGCTTGCTCAGACAAAGGTCTGACAACTGTTTAAAAAAGTGATAAATATTTATGTAGAAATGACCACACATACGACCTGTTTGAGCTGCCGTTTTGAATTGGTGAATTAAGATTACAACAGTCAATCATTAAGCAATAAACTACTATAAAAACCCTATGGTACCTCTTTATACCCAAACAATTGAATCACCCGCAGAATTTTATCTGAAGCCAATGGCAAATTTAATGCAGATCCTGAAAAATGCAACAGTGAGTATCATGGTTTTGAAGTCTGTTCTGCTGATTCCTACAGTTACAGTATGTGTGAATGCTTATAAACGTCATTAAATTTACTTGTAGTACCGGTAGTAGTAGTAGTAGTAGCTGTGCTATTGTGCCCTTACACTATACATTGTACTCTTGTAAGAAATTAAAAGTGTATCTTTAACAATTTTTTTTTTCCATTACTGAAAACCGTATGTTCAATATGTAATGCTTTGTAAAGTGTGGATGTACATGTACATGTAATATATATAAAGAGAGTAAGTTTAATTAGTCCTGTAAATAATGATTGAGAGGCGAGATTTGTAGGGAGCATATTGGAATATCTATTCTCCGGCAATGAACATCCAAACTTTACAAAACATGACATATTGACCATACGTTTTTTCTATGAATTACGTTCTTTGAATGTTTAAAATAAACTTAACCTGGATAATATCAATATCTTCTTATTCTGTCTCAGGCAAGTAGGATAGCAGTGCTTCATTCACTAGCCAATATAGAGCAATGGGCCATAGACCTTGCGTGGGATATCATTGCTCGGTTTTCTGATGTGGTGCTTGGTGATGGCTCTAAGTTACCTCAGGAATTTTTCACTGATTTCATTCAAGTTGCTGATGATGAAGCAAAGGTATTAAGTTCTTTTTAAAATTTCTGTTTGTGTTAAGATCATTCAGGATGGATGCTGATAACATTGAATGCTGAATTAGATGGTAGAAATGCAGTTTATTACATCTGTTTATCCAAACAAAATAAGAATTTTATATATTTTTTATAGAAACATAATGTATTGAAATAATTTAATATTCAGTGGCAATGTTATCGTAAATGATTTATGTCACTTGTATATTGGAACCTCACATCCTTAATACAGTCACTGTAAAAGAGTCACCATGTTTTAAACAAGATGTTCATTTTATTTACATTTGATTTGATTTGATTTGATTTCATGACATTTTGTTCATAGCCGTTTGGCCTACATACAAATAAAAGCTCCAGCCATAGTATATGAGCACATAAATATGATACCAGACATTGATACTTAAATTGGGATTATAGGACTGGAAATAATTATTGATGTTCATTTTGGTTATTGGTTTGATTTTTATGCCTCCGTTACGAAGTAGCCGGAGGCATTATGTTTTCGGGTTGTCTGTCCGTCCGTCTGTACGTACGTACGTACGTCCCGTTCTCGTGATCGCGTTATCTGAAGAACCGATTGATGGATTCCTGCCAAACTTTGGTCATGTATGTATCTTGCAGAGCCGATGAACTGATTAGATTTTGGGGTTACGAGGTCAAAGGTCAAAGGTCACAGGGCTCATTATGTATGCAAAAACAGCTCGTGATCGCGTTATCTGAAGAACCAATTGATGGATTCCTGCCAAACTTTGGTCATGTATGTATCTTGCAGAGTCAAAGAACTGATTAGATTTTGGGGTCATGAGGTTAAAGGTCAAAGGTCACAGGGCTCATTATGTATGCAAAAACAGCTCGTGATCGCGTTATCTCAAGAACCGAGTGATGGATTGCTGCCAAACTTAGGTCATGTATGTTACTTGCAGAACTGATGAAGTGATTAGATTTTGGGGTCAGGAGGTCAAAGGTCTAAGGCCACAGCGCACATTATGTATGCAAAAACAGCTCGTGATTGCGTTATCTCAAGAACCGATTGATCGATTGCTGCTAAACTTAGGTCATGTATGTTACTTGCAGAGCAGATGAACTGATTAGATTTTGGGGTCACGAGGTCAAAGGTCAAAGGCCACAACGCACATTATGTATGCAAAAACAGCTCGTGATCGCGTTCTCAAGAACCGATTGATGGATTCCTGCCAAAATTAGGTCATGTATGTTACTTGCTGAGCCAATGAACTGAGTAGATTCTTGGTTCATAAGGTCAAAGGTCATGGGCTCTTTATGTATGCAGAAATAGCTTGTGAACACATTCTCATTAGAACTGACAGATGGATTACTATTTAACTCAGGACATCTTGCAGAGCCAATGAACTGAGTAGATTTTAGGGTCATGAGGTCAAAGATCAAAGGGTCATATATGTATATGAGAAATTGCTTGTAATCACGATATTCTGAGAACCTGTTAATGGATTACAATTGAAGTTGAATTTTAAAAATGTGTTCTGTTTTGGTTTGTAAAATTGCTCTATGACGGAGGCATCATTTTCGACTGCGCGCAGTCGAATTCCATCTAGTTTTTTCTACAACTAAGGTAAGTAATTAACTCTCTGACAGGTGTTATGGTCTAATGGATAAATCCCAGGTCGATTTTTGCACTCTCGCAAACAATGGCTCCTGTTCATCCAAGCGTAAACACATACCACACAAAAATGATACTAAATGATCCGGGATAAATGCTCTTTCATAAGATGTGTAATAATATACTGTTTATAGATTTTTTTTTAAAAATAATTAGCAATTTTCTAGGTGTAAACGTTTTTGGGACTCACACTGTATAGGAACAGAATATCAGCAACATTTTGTTTAAATTTTTCATGAGGTTTGCTTTTTATGCCTCCGTTACGAAGTAGCCGGAGGCATTATGTTTTCGGGTTGTCCGTCCGTCCGTACGTACGTCCGTACGTCCCGTTCTCGTGATCGCGTTATCTGAAGAACCGATTTATGGATTCCTGCCAAACTTTGGTCATGTATGTATCTTGCAGAGCCAATGAACTGATTAAATTTTGGGGTCACGAGGTCAAAGGTCAAAGGTCACAGGGCTCGTTATGTATGCAAAAACAGCTCGTGATCGCGTTATCTCAAGAACCGATTGATGGATTCCTGCCAAACTTTGGTCATGTTTGTATCTTGCAGAGCCAATGAACTGATTAGATTTTGGGGGTCACGAGGTCAAAGGTCAAAGGTCACAGGGCTCATGATGTATGCAAAAACAGCTCGTGATCGCGTTATCTCAAGAACCGATTGATGGATTCCTGCCAAACTTTGGTCATGTTTGTATCTTGCAGAGCCAATGAACTGATAAGATTTTGGGGGTCACGAGGTCAAAGGTCAAAGGTCACAGGGCTCGTGATCGCGTTATCTCAAGAACCGATTGATGGATTCCTGCCAAACTTAGGTCATGTATGTCACTTGCAGAGCTGATGAACTGATTAGATTTTGGGGTCATGAGGTCAAGGTCAAAGGTCATGCGGCTCATTATTTATGCAAAAATAGCTTGCGATCGCATTATCATTAGAACAGATTGATGGACTCCTGCCAAACTTAGATCATGTATGTATCTTGCAAAGCCAATGAACTGAGTAGATTCTTGGGTCACGAGGTCAAAGGTCAAAGGTCACAGGGCTCATGATGTATGCAAAAACAGCTCGTGATCGCGTTATCTCAAGAACCGATTGATGGATTCCTGCCAAACTTAGGTCATGTATGTCACTTGCAAAGCTGATGAACTGATTAGATTTTGGGGGTCACGAGGTCAAAGGTCAAAGGTCACAGGGCTCATGATGTATGCAAAAACAGCTCGTGATCGCGTTATCTCAAGAACCGATTGATGGATTCCTGCCAAACTTTGGTCATGTTTGTATCTTGCAGAGCCAATGAACTGATAAGATTTTGGGGTCACGAGGTCAAAGGTCAAAGGTCACAGGGCTCATGATGTATGCAAAAACAGCTCGTGATCGCGTTATCTCAAGAACCGATTGATGGATTCCTGCCAAACTTAGGTCATGTATGTCACTTGCAGAGCTGATGAACTGATTAGATTTTGGGGTCATGAGGTCAAGGTCAAAGGTCATGCGGCTCATTATTTATGCAAAAATAGCTTGCGATCGCATTATCATTAGAACAGATTGATGGACTCCTGCCAAACTTAGATCATGTATGTATCTTGCAAAGCCAATGAACTGAGTAGATTCTTGGGTCATGAGGTCAAAGGTCAAAGGTCATGGGCTCATTATGTATGCAAAAATAGCTTGTGAACGCATTCTCAGAACTGACAGATGCATTACTATTTAACTCAGGACATCTTGCAGAGCCAATGAACTGAGTAGATTTTAGGGTCATGAGGTCAAAGATCAAAGAGTCACATATGTGTATGAGAAATTGCTTGTAATCCCGATATTCTGAGAACCTGTTAATGGATTACAATTGAAATTGATTTGAAAAATTTCTTCTGTTTTGGTTTGTAAAATTGCCCCATGACGGAGGCATCATTTTCGACTGCGCGCAGTCGAAGTTCCATCTAGTTCATTATTCATCTTGCTACAGCATTCCAAAACATGTAGCTTTTTCAGTTCAGTTCAGTTCAGTTCATTTATTTCAATCATAAAACCATATAATAACATAATATATACAAAAGTAACATGAAACAATCATAATCTTACAATTCTGGAATTAAGAAATTGGAGACTAAAAAGGAAGTTTAAAAAACTTGTAAGTATAGTAGTCCCCTGACATAAATAATAAATAAGGAGATTACATGGTTGCACATGGTTACTACAACAATAACAATATATAAATAAGATACTACACATTTTAGATACACACCGATGAACACACACACACACTCCACTTACACACACACATGCACACTCATTAAGCCATTCCACATTTCAAAAAGGAAGACAAGCATTGCTTTGTCAAAAGACATATATTAAAACCGCATCAGCATTTAAGCAGTATGGCCCTAAGGCATGTACTTGATTTTATCCAACATTTCTCATAAACTTTCAATCATTTATGGTGGAATGAGAAATTCATTGATTTAAAAAAAGATCTTGATAAAAAAAATAATCATGAATTCGCATACAAAATTCACTTTTAAAAATGTACACAATAACCACTTTAAGCATTTATCAGGGTACCGGTAGTTCTATGTTATAATGGACTTACCGGTACTGTAGCATGGTGACTTAATGCACTTCATTATATTTCCCTTCTTTATATTATGCAGCACTTTTCTCTCTTAGAAAGGCGACTTGAAAGCTTAGGAAGCAACTTTGGAGCACTGCCAGTTCATAATGGTAAGTATCTACAATCTGTCTGCTTCAACATTTACTCCAGGAACAGTTGCCCTGGGCTTCATAAAGGTTCAGGATGGGACCGCAATTGGGTTAGTTTGGCTGAAGTAGAAGATGTAAGGTGGCCTGTCCAAGTTTATCTATAGAGTATTAATGGTCTACTCAATGGAGTTGTCTTGAAAGTACTATGTAATGTATTTGTCTGTTATAACATTGTTAGAGATGAAGTACTCAAGGTATGTCATGTGATCAACTGGCTTGCAAGTAGTTCCATCAATACTAATGTGTGGAGGCCTGTAAATTCCATTTGATGGTGTCTGATGGAGCCCTAGAGTTTCCATGAGGCAAAAAGTACGCCAAAGGTAGAAGCAACAAACTGCTTGATAGTAGTTTAAAGTAATGTTTTCCCTTTCAGAACTGCAATTATTCACAGTTCTTGAATCAGTTCTCTCTTATCTAATTGTGAGCCAGGGTAAAATTAACTTGTTCATTTAGATTTCTCAATGTAGAACTTCTTAGTCATCCTCACCCCCCCCCCCCTCCTTAGTATTATGATGGAGAAGACAGCACAGAACATTGATTAACTTTCATTGAGTACTTTCATTCTTTAATAAAATGTATTAATGCATACATTATGGACATTGTTTGCATTTAATATGATTTCTTGTTTATTTCACAGGTTTGTGGCAGTCTGCTGAGGAAACAAATGACAGCTTGCTTGGGAGGCTAGCTGTTGTGCATATGGTCCATGAAGCTCGGTGAGTATATTTCTCAACTTCTGATGGCTCTTTTTAGAGCCTCAAGTATATATTGTTTGACGCTATGAAGGGATAATAAGTAAACTTTTTCAAAATGAGCAAGAAATAATGTATGAAACTCTGTTCTTAAGTATAAATTAAGTACAGTATAAACCTATTGTAAATATCACAGTGTAGCTAGTGGTCTCCCTGATGAATCTCAAAAGTGTGAATTTGTAATTTCCTCTCTTACATCAATCTTTCTAACAGAATGTGATGTTCCCAAATAATAAGTCTAGCTCCTGGGCCAGATTACAGAACAAAATGCCTCTTTAAAGGGATCGGGTAACTTTGTCTCAGAATCTGAAACAATATCCTGGATTTAGCTAATGCCGCAGGGATAATTATAAAGCTTTACATGAAGTGTAGATATTATTCCATACCAATATGTTGGTATTGATTCTGGCTAAACATTGTAGGAATCTTAATTTGTTTGAATGGGATACCTGCCTTATTGCGAGGTCCCTACTTTCATAGGCTCAGGTGTATGTAAGGTCCGAGGACATCTTGTTTTTAATAAGCTTGACATTTTGTACTATTCATTTACGTACGTCACATGGATTGAAAAAGAAGACTTTCGGTTTATAGTTATTTATTCAATATTTGTCTTTTCCCAGATTAATGTGACCCACTTTAAGTCTTACTGTTGTTGTGTTTTCACTGTTTTCTTGATCTTATCTTTGTTGAAAATAAATAAATGATAATGATAAAAATAATAAATCTTTTAATATTTTTCCTTTTATATATATATCTACGCTTATATACATACAGTTTCTTGTTTATTTTAAATATTTGCCTGCTACCTACGTTTGTTATAATTTTTGTATGATCTTCTCTCATTATATAAATTTCTCATAGTGGTTTGGATGTTCATCCAAAAACTCAGGAGCGATTTAGACGACAGAGTGATGCTGAGTCTGTTGAGGTCTTAGACACTATCTACAAGGATGAAATTACACACGTGGCTGCTGGTCTTAAATGGTTTACATATGTATGTAGACACAATTCTCCTCCTATTGATTGCATCCCAAAGTTCCATGAATTGGTTCGAGCTCATTTCAGGTAACTACTTTTGATGTTAGTAACAACGTTCATTGAATATTGTAAAATATATAATTTGAACCAAATTCATGACCCCATACCAAAACTTTGTATTAACTTTAAGAATTGAACTAAGAGAGCTTATTTAGATTGAGTTTTTATGTAAAATGTCTTTGACTAAGCTTCCTAACAATTAACCAATTACCCACAAAAAATTCAAATTCTATTAAAATTCTAATGTTTTCATTGTTATGAAGCATTGTTTATTTTAATTTTTTTAATTTTAGAATTTTGGGCTTTCATGAATAAGTATAGAGATAAAACAATTTGAAACAACAAGAAAGATTATCAAGAGTCCTTTTCAGGACTCCTCAATCTTCCCTCTCTCTCACATGGTGCACCCGCAAGCCTACTGTATAACAATGAATTGGGAAATGAGAATTGATTTACATAGAAAAACTTTATTTTTTCCAAAATCTTGTTGAAAAATCTTGTCCAAAATCTTGCTGAGGTACACCAACATCATGTAACTTCGCATCCATAAGCCTGATTTTCATTAACTGGCTGTCGAAAGAAAAGGGTCTTAAAAAGTCTTGTATTGTTTCAACCACTGAAGCTTGCAACAAGCTGGATGAAATTTTTGCATTTTACACTTGTCCCCAAACCAGAAAAAATAGGATCAAAATCCTCTTTGAATTTGTGTACACAAATGAAATGAAATTTTCCTTCTTTAATCAGGGGCCATCTGAAGCCTCCATTTAATGAAGTTGGCCGAGAAACCGCTGGCATGTCTAAAGAGGTGAGGTCACAATATTCTTGATTCATTAAACGTGAAATTTAAAGAAAATCACAAATATGTCAACTAATGTATCACTAGAAACTGGTCAGCTAACAGATGGCCATCGTACAAGTTTTAGGTCAACTACATATCGTGTGATTTATAAAAATACAAATACAACCACCTCCATAGCAGCTGGGATATACGAGAGATTCGCAGAAAAAAAAAGAAGATGTTTTAATGACGTCACTATATGGACCAATACTGCCTAAGCAGACGACATCCCATAAAGAATGAACATAATTGCAAAGCTATTATTTGTCAAATTATAATGAGTTTAGTGTATATAATTGTAATGGCATGTCAAACCATTCAAAGGGGGATATGACCCGATTCTGGTGAATAAAATCTTTTGCTTGTAAATACACAGGATAAGGGTTAATTAACAATCAAAGAAACCAGACTTTCAAATTGAAAACCCCCGGAATGACATTAAGGACAGCATTTAGAGGTGTTGTAGGGGTGTTGTGGTCTAGTGGATAAGTCTCCAGACTGTGAACCACAAGGTATGGGGCTTGAATCCCCACTGCAGCACTAACATCCGTCATCAAGAAACTCATCCACATTCACCCAAGTGTAGTTAAGTGGGTACCTGGTAAGACTTATTTCATGAGTGCACTTATCCAGTGCTAATATTGTTAGAGCTGAAATCAGGAGTAATAATATTCAAAGTCCTTTGGAAGTGCATATTATATCATCGTATATTATAATTATCTCCTGAATTTCAAGGAAAGTGAAAGCTAAAATTGAAGCAATAATAATGTAGTCCAATACTGTAGGAATAATTGGAGAATATTTATCAATCATAACACAGACACAGTGTGTAACACAGTGTGGCATGTTACTAGCATTACTCTTCAATTTTTATTATCTGTTGTTTGAGTGCCATAACCTTGTAATACTTTGATTATGATTTTTTGTTTTGTTCTATTTCTTTATAGTGGTATTTGCCGCTGGTGAAGTCATAACCTATTATCAAATCATTGGAGCAGAGTTCATCATGTGTTATGAACATTTACGGTATAAAGGAAACATTTTGGACGTGACCGTAAACACTAACATTTGAAGTTGAATTGCCATCAATACTCTGATTTTATAGTTTTCTTATGTCTAGTCACATTTACTTCAGGCTTTAATGTTATATCACTTTATCACTTTGGTCATTTTCACATTGACATTAATATAAAAGTTTACCTGCATCCTTATTTTGTGTTGTGCAATCTATTTAGGATTATGTAAACACATGCTACTTTTTACTTTTAAAGGCAACATTTTTAAACAATTTTATTTGGCATCCAATTGCTCTGTTTTCTTCCTTCTCATACACATCTATTGTATGCCTCCAGATCTAGTAGTGATGGTCTGTGATAATGTAACAAGTATTGCTAAGTATATGATTAATGTTTACCTATTCCTTAGAATAAATTCCTACTTTAATCCTATTATGTTATCCAATATACACAAGACTACCGTATATCAATGTTATAACTTTCGGGGCCTCCATCATATTTCTCCCTCTATTTAACTGAGTCTTACGTATTATTCTCTTCGTTTGTATAAATATTTAACAAACAAATGGAACATGCCAAATGTTATAATGTATTATACAACATGTGAAATATGAAAATAAACTGGAACTGAAACTGAAACTGAACTGTCCATCTTTCCTTCATTTTGTTATTGTAATCACTTTTGAACTGATGACTTTTTTTGTTGGACAAGAAGAAGGATGTGGCCCAACATGTGCGTCAATTACCTTTTTCCAGGCATTACTAAGTCAAAGATATCTCATCAGTAGTAGGGTTATGAAGTGTTTGGTTCAAGGTGAAATTTACTGCTGAGCAATTTTTTACAGATCATGTGTTATAGAACTCTGCAAAAGCTTAAATGTCATTTGTCTAATGGTCATATTTGAGGAATATCTATGGCACACTGTATGAAGACACAATAGTTTACTGATTCATGGTCAGTGTTAGGATTTGGTATAGAAACACTTTGCCACCTACTCCTGCTGAATTTGTGTTTACAAAATATGTGCTGGATCTTGAAGGTATAGACCAGTTCTGGTCATGCGATTGCATTGTGGAAGAAACGTGGAATCGATTGTAAAGGTTGATCATCTAGCATATAAGTATTGGTGTGTACTGCTAGGTTCTGGAATCATCAAAATGATAGAAAATTTGGCCCAGTCTTGGTAAAGTAACAAGCACTGTACACCGAAAAATGTATATGGGACTACAATATATCTATCCAGTCCGGATAGATATAATTTACAAAATATATCAATTAGTAGGCGGTTTCCTGTCAAAATGTGTATCATCACGTATTAGTCAAAACATATCCTTTCACATGATTGGTAATAAGAGCTTCCATTTCATTCTTTGAGAGAGAGAGGGGGGGGGGGGGGGGGGGGGGAGGGGCGGGGCGCGTTTCCAGAAGTGGTCTATACCTTCAACATGAATTAGGGTTAAATATTCATGATCTACAGGCTGCCTAAATTTTGGGCCGCTACCCCAGGCTTTAAAGAATGAGATTGGAAAGGAAATTACTTTAGGCTGTAGGGGTTATACTTCTCCACACTGATAAGAAATGTTCAGGGCAAGAGGGTACCTCCCTGGAGAGTAAACAGATGCCGAGGGGGGGGGGGGGGGCAGGGTAAGTGGGTGATGATGACAAAAAAGCTAAAGAATCAGGGTTGACGATTCACTATACACTGGCTGCTTAAAGTTTGGGCTGCTACCTCGGGCTTAAACGAATGAGATTGGAAAGGAAATTGCTTTAGGCTGTAGTTGTTATACTTCCCAATACAGAGAAGAAACTTTCTCACTGAAGAGGAATACCTCGCTAAAGAATAAACAGTTCGAGTTAGGGTGAGGGTGATAGGTTTAGGATTAGGAATCGGGTTAGGGTTAGAGGTTTGAGGTAAGCTTCCATTTCATTTTTGAGAGGGGGCGTATCCAAAACTGGTCTTTACCTTGAATATAAATTAGGGTTAAATATTCATCATGCCTAAATGATGGACCAACAGAAAGCTTCTATTGGACCAACCTCCACCCACGTCTTCTATGGGTTTCTGTTGGTCCATTAGATATTTTCTATTGGTTCCTGCAGGGGCGTCGCTAGACCTTTTTCAGTGTGGGGCGGGGGGATGTAGAGGCGGAAGTTTTGACGTTTCCTTAAATTATTAAAGAAAGTAGACGATTCGTTGAACCGTGCTCGACTCTTAATCCTTTGACGTTTTATTAAATTATGAGAAAAAAGCAGACGATTCGGTGTACTGTTTTCGACTCTTAATCCTTATCTGAATACAGTTCTCCCCCTCCCACGCGAAGCGCGTAAGTTTTGACGTTTCCTTAAATTATTAGAGAAATAAGACGATTCGTTGTACCGTTCTCGACTCGTCTAAATTAAATTTCCCTTCCGCGTGAATTAAGCGCAGAATCTTTGGCGTTTCATCACAATATAGAGAAAGGAGAACGATTCGTCGTTCCGTACGTTGTTGACTCTTCAGCCTTGTTTGAATTTAGTTTCCCCGAAAATGTTAAACCTCTGATTTCTTTAGCTGATATTATAGGAAAGTGAAACTTCGAGAAAATACAAGTATTGTAGTTGTAGTCACCAGTGGCGTAATGAGCAAAAACGTTTGGGGGGGGGGGGGGGGGGGCTGACAAAAAAAAAATCCGCAGCAGCCCACTCTAACATGCAGGCCCCGCTAAACGTTTCGCAAAGTGGGATCTAGGGGCAAAGCCCCGGCGGGGGTCAAGGGCGGAGCCTACGAAGCTCAAGGGGTATGGGTATCAGCGGCGAATCCAGGAATTTCTTATCGGGGGGGGGGGGGGGTGCACAAAATGGCATGGGGTTAAATATATGTAAAACGATGAAGCGACAGAACGAGGCTTTAGCGGCAAGGGAGTGGAGCCACCAAGTCGGGGTGGGTCTGGTTCTGGCCCCCTCAAAGAGTAAGAAGCATTTGCAATTTTAGAACCATATTAGACCAATTTTCAGGCACTTCCTGGAGTAATATGACGTAAAATTGCTTTCTCCTACCGCTTCCAAGAGTAGGGATCTATTGCAATTTAAGAACCACATTTGGCGCATTAATGTCCACCGGCACTTCCTGGATAAAAAAAACGAAGCCTTCTGATTGGTTAGAAGTTAGAGAAAAGTGATCTGCCACGTTTTGAGACGTTGTATATGCTTTGATGCCGCACAATGCACAAAGACGATGGTCCGGTACTTTATCAGTAGTACTTGCAAACATTTTCTCGAGGTATAAACTGTGTCGTTATCAGGGGCGTCGCTAGATCATGGGGGGAGTGGGGAGGGTGTAGAGGCCACCGATTACCGACAAACCGTGCGCCTGTAATCCAGCTAACAGTGGAAGTTACAAACTGATTCAGCCGAGGACGCAGGTTCGAAACTGAGTAACGTCTTTCGGATGGTGACGTTAAACAGGCGCGGATCCAGGATTTCTTAGGGGAGGGGTGGGGGGGGGGGGGGGGGTGGGGGGGGGGGGTGGGGGGGGGGGAAGGGGGGGGGGGGGGGGGGGTAGTGAGCGCATTTTTTTTTTTTTTGATCCTCAAAAAAAATTCAATTTGCACCCCCCCCCCCCCCCTTGAGCGCCAGGGTGGGGGCCCAACCCCCCCAAAAAGGTAAAAATCACGTGATTTTACATGATTTTTTTTCTCAAGGGGGGGGGGGGGGCCGGGCCCCCCTGGATCCGCCACTGACGTTAAAGGTCGGTCCCCAGACGTAAATAATCATATCTGATTGATACACGTCTGTAAAAATCCAATCACACACAGGATGCCGCCACATTCAAATTTGGCGCCGTTGCGTCTTTCGGATGGTGACGTTAAAGGTCGGTCCCAGACGTAAATAATCATATCTGATTGATACACGTCTGTAAAAACCCAATTACACACACACACACACACACCAATTACCGACAAATATATTAGTGCCAATGTCCAAATGTCTACAAATTTAACCCTATAAACCCGGGGCCAGGAATTGAGCTATTTTTCAGTTTCCCCTCCGGCGTGAAGCGCGGAAACTTTGACACTTCATTAAAATTATTATAGAAAGAAGACGATCCGTTGTCCCGTTCTCGACTCTTAATTCTTGTTTGGATCCAATTCCCCCCCCCCCTCCCGCGCGAAGCGCGGCAGTCTTGACGTTTCAATAAATCATTACTCTTAATCCTTGTCTGAATTCATTTTCGCCCACCCCGCGAGAAGCGCGGAAACTTTGACGATTCATTAAATTATTACTCTTAATCCTTGTCTGAATTCATTTTTGCCCATCTCGCGCGAAGCGCGGAAGCTTTTGCGTTTCAATAAATCATTACTCTTAATCCTTGTCTAAATTCATTTTCGCCCATCCCGCGCAACTAGCGCGGAAGCTTTCACGTTTCATTAAATCTAAAGAGAAAAAAGACGATTCGTTGTATCGTGTTCTTGTCTGAATTCAGTTCTCCACCCCCCCCCCCTCCCGCGCGAAAGCTTTGACACTTCATTAAATTATTAGAGAAAGACAACGATTCATTGTACCGGTTCCATCTCTTAATCCTGGTCTGAATTCATTTTCGCCCATCGCGAAGCGCGAAAGCTTTCACGTTTCATTAAATTATTAGGGAAAGAAGACGATTCGTTGTATCGTGTTCTTGTCTGAATTCAGTACCCCCCCCCCCCCTTCCTGCGCGAAGCGCGGAAGCTTTGACACTTCATTAAATTATTAGAGAAAGAAGACGATTCGTTGTACCGGTTCCGTCTCTTAATCCTGGTCTGAATTCATTTTCGCCCATCTCGCGCGAAGCCCGGAACCTTTCACGTTTCATTAAATTATTAGAGAAAGAAGACGATTCGTTGTATCGTGTTCTTGTCTGAATTCAGTACCCCTCCCCCCTTCCCGCGCGAAGCGCGGAATCTTTGACATTTCATTAAATTATTAGAGAAAGAAGACGATTCATTGTACCGGTTCCGTCTCTTAATCCTGGTCTGAATTCATTTTCGCCCATCCCGCACAAAGCGTCGAAGCTTTCACGTTTCATTAAATTATTAGAGAAAGAAGACGATTCGTTGTATCGTGTTCTTGTCTGAATTCACTCCCCCCTCCCCTTCCCGCGCGAAGCGCGGAAGCTTTGACACTTCATTAAATTATTAGAGAAAGAAGACGATTCATTGTACCGGTTCCGACTGAATCCATTTTCGCTCATCCCGCGCAAAGCGCGGAAATTTTGACGATTCATTAAATTATTACTCTTAATCTTTGTCTGAATTCATTTTCGCCCTTCTCGCGCGAAGCGCGGAAGCTTTTGCGTTTCAATAAATCATTACTCTTAATCCTTGTCTGAATTAATTTTCGCCCATCCCGCGCGAAGCGCGGAAGCTTTCACGTTTCAATAAATGATCAGAGAAAGAAGACGATTTGTTGTATCGTGTTCTTGTCTGAATTCACTTCCCCCCTCCCCTCTCGCGCGAAGCGCGGAAGGTTTGACACTTCATTAAATTATAAAGAAGGAAGACGATTCGTTGTACCGTTCTCTACTTTTAATCCTAGTCTGAATTCAGTTGCCCCCCCCCCCCGCCGAAGCGCGGAAGCTTTGCCATTTCATTAAATTATTAGAGAAAGAAGACGATTCGTTGTA